TAGACCCAGAGCAGATATAGAAATTCCTTACATCATGGGCATAATCTATCTATATACAACAATATCTTATGGGGAGGACCAAACCAGTATGTGTGTGGAAGAAAGTGAGAGAAAAGAGAGGAAGAGAAGGGATAGAGGAGAGAGACCCTTACCCCTATGATTTTCTAGCATCACACCATCAGGTTACAAACAGTGTTCTGCGAGTGATTTCCATCACTGCCCTGCTCCAGTGACTGAGAAAGAAAGAGAGGAGGGGAGTTGTTTTAGCTCTTGAAACATTGACTGGACATATGTACATAACAATGTAGCCTCTGTCGCAGAAAACACTGAAGCCTACAGTAGCAAATACTGACATCACCCTCTCCTTTCTTACTCATCTTTATTTACTCCCTCTCTCCTCTTCCACACATGTGCAGAATGACCCTACGCTTGTGGCCTTACTGCCCTGTGATACCTTCTTGCGCATGCTTAGCTCAGGGGAAGCTCTTCTGCGCATGCGTACAGATGGGGGCGGCACCCCCCGAGAGTAGAAATGGCTCAGCAGAGAATGGCGGGGGTACGGGGTACGGGGTTTACCTGTACGCATGTTCGCGCAGTCTAGCGTAGCCTGGCCCATGAGCAGCATACAGAACACAACGCCTGGACCAAGTACCTGAGAGACTGCGTTTCTCCTGAATAAGGCGGGTACCGAGATTACCCAGTGAGACAAAGGATCAATGCCCACTCTATATACACTATTCGGACACTATTCCAGTGCCTCTCGCGGCTGTCACGCCGTTTTACAAAAACTCCGTCCCACACGCAAACGGGCAGGGTGTGGTAACTACCGTACACTGTACATCTGTCTCTAAACTCACCAGCAAGGAACGAAGAACATCCATACAGAGCTCCAAAAGCTGCACACGTCGATCGATCAATCAAGCAGTGTAAGTACATACGCACGCACGTGTACGTACGTATATTACAAAGATTTTGCGCCATCACGTGAGCTTTTCGCACTGCGCATATGCACATACGCAGGCAATTTACACTGCCGCAATGCGCTTGTGCTGGTAATAACCGCACCCTTTCTTATTGAATTATGTCATCGTCGAGAAGTCAAGGCACGTGACGCAAACGCCTACTGCGCATGCACAATCGCGAAAGAGGCGTGGTATTAAATTTCCAGGGGCAAAATGGCGGGCTGCAACGACGTGTCCAGTGACCTCATGACCCTTCCTGAAATACTGAAATTCATGAGAAGCGCTGTAGTGCGCATGCGTAGCCCAGAAAAAGGGGCGTAACGGAGGCCAGTAACGGTGCGTCCGCGTTCGCACGTACGCCAGTTATTGGGAGAAACGAAGGTGCAACGAGCTTCACGCTAATGTAAGCTACCGATTGAAGGCATTTTTGCGCCGATCCCAAGACCTACGCCCACGCCAATCTACGTAATCTTAATCACGGGTGTAAACACAAGGACACACAAGGCAAGTCAAACAACTCAACGACACCTCTGTTCTTTGAGCGCGGTGAGTGCTCTACTACTGCACTATCCAGGGAAGTTCAGCAAGCTGGGTAAATGCAAACCACCAAACCTCTTAGAGCGGCCCGGCCGCGGGGCGCCGGTATTTAGCGCTGTAGAGAGCATGCGTGTTGGGGCATGCGCGAATACCCGATCGCGATCGATATAAGGTTAGTGTCCGGAGGAGAAGTTGCAGCTCAGCTAAGCGTGAGAATGGATGTGGTGAAGGTAATTTTATTGGTTTTTGGTGTATTAGTGATTGCTGCAGCACAGCAGACTCCTGGGTATGTACTGGAAAAAAGTGTTTTGCTTTTACTATGATAGACCTTATTACAGGGTGTGCTCAAGGATAGGAAGTGGAATAGTTACTGTCAGTTACAGTACAGCATCGCAATATTCTACGGGCTACAGGTGTGGAGCGTTTGGTTGGTCACGTTGTACCCGGTATGGACTTTACTACCACACACTATATGGACACCAAACAGTTTACCATACTGTACAAGAGTGTTGTTATGGGTATCATGATCCAGGAGGAGGAATCAACTGCGTGTGTAAGAGGGTTCATTATAGATACCCAGACTGACTGATCTTGTGGTGCATCTATATACAGTGTATTGTGATCCTCCGTGTGAGAACGGAGTATGCAATTTTGGCACTGAGAGCTGTGACTGCTCTCCTGGATACACTGGGGGTGCTTGTCAGGATGGTAAAAAGTTTTTGGCTGGCCATGATTTAAAACTGTGATCCAATGCAGATATTGACGAGTGTGACAACAAAAATGGCGGTTGTGATCAGATTTGCACCAACTCGGTTGGCAGTTATAGCTGCTCGTGTCGGAGTGGATTTCGTATTCCACCATCAGATCCCAGTGCATGTAGTGGTAGGTAGTATGTGCAACAGTATTAGCATTGTCTGATGTGTATATTATTCTTTACAGACATTGATGAGTGTGAGGGTGATCACGGCTGCAGTCAGATCTGCACAAACACTCCAGGATTTTACTTCTGCAACTGCCAGCGTGGTTTTCAACTGGTGGGCACCACTGAATGTGAAGGTAATTAAGTTACCCATTGGTTGTAGTGTGCCAGGGTGAAGCAGAGTGCTGTGGCATGAGAATGAAGTCTAGTTGGTCTTTCATTGTTTTATCAGATGTAGATGAATGTACTCTACTACCCAATGGATTCTGCAACCAGGTCTGTGTCAACACCGATGGATCTTACCACTGTGACTGCAGAGATGGATATCGACTACATGGAACCTCTCTCTGCCATGGTTACTGCAATAATATCCTTTTCAAACATAACATCACACGGTGGGACCCTCATACAGCAGTGTTCTTTATTCAGAGGTTACACATGAAAGTATTAGCAGGTCAAGTGTCCTATGAACAGTGGTGTTCTTTAGTTGGGGTAACCTTTATAAGAGATTCTACTGTAGTATATTCAGATATTGATGAGTGTGCAGAGATGAGTGACAATTGTAACAGGGTTGGACCCACACCAGCAGAGTGTATCAATACCGAGGGTGGCTATGAGTGTAGCTGTAGTCAGTACACTGGCTACCGAGTCTCTGCTGACGGCATCACCTGTGAAGGTAAGGTGCCATTCTCATAGAGTATATATGCCGGGTTGGAGTCCCACACAAGCCAGCTGTTTTTTAAACCTCTTGGCACGTATTGCAATGCCTGTTTGTTACTATACTTGTGTTTTTCCACATAAGTAATTATTGGCGAGTGAAGCGAGCCTACATAGTCGTTTCGATGCAGGATTTTCTATATTATAGTCGTCGGGCACTGCACATATGTATATTGTATGTGATTCTAAATACACACAAAACATGCACAAAGTATTGAACTGCACTCGCTATAAGTATAATGTAAATCACAGTAAGAAGGTTAAATTTTGCCCTGGGTGTGATTGATATGCACTTGGCTTGCATTGACACCCCTGCATTATCACAAGCAATCACTTTCCCATTTAGATGTTGATGAGTGTGCAGAAGGGAGCCACGTCTGCTCCATGCTGTGTGTGAACACTCCTGGATCCTACCACTGCTCCTGCCCCGAGGGCTACGAGCTTGATGAGGATGAAGTAACCTGTCACGGTAAGTAAACATAGGGATATGCAAACTATGAGGTAGAAAGGTAAAAGTACAACAAACAAGTTAACTACATCCAGGACAACGTTTTTTCCAAGGAAAAGAAGAGCTGCCCTAGGTGGGATTCAAACCCACAACACTCTGCAGTCTAGGCGAGCGCTCTACCAACTGAGCTACCAGGGCAACTCAGCTGGTAGGGGTTCAAATCTTCAACACAAAGACAAACCTCAAACCACTGTGCTATGGCACAGTATACTCTCACTCAGCATGTAGGAGCAGACCGGGGTAATTAAACCATCAAAGACGCCCAACTCCAAACTGGAGTATATGCATGTGTGAACTACGAGGTGAAACGCAAAGGCTCAAAAAACTGCAAACACATCACTATACAATTCCTTAATGCAGTTATTTATGTTTTGTGTTTTAACACTACGAATCCACAGATATTGATGAATGTGAGAGGATGATTAGTGGATGCCAGCATTCCTGCACCAACACTGTTGGTAGCTTTGTCTGCACATGTGATCGTGGCTACCTCCTCTCACCTGATGCTCTCTCCTGTGAAGGTAACACACACAATCATAAGTGATGTAATTTATCAGTAACCCTCGGCGTGCATGCTCAGTGAGGGTTACAGTACTTGGCCTGTCTGTGTGTGAGTCGATGCTTATTCTGGCACTACAGGCTACATGGTGGCCTATAAGTGGCTTCAGAGCCACAAGTACGTGAAAAATAAAAAGGTGACTTTCATGAAACAACTGCGTTAAAGAGATATGCCATTAAAACAAGCAAAAAAGCCGGCAATATGAAAAATCGAAGGTTTAGTTTGACCTGATCCGCTTGCTCTGTCACCTTTGAAGGCACAATAAATCACCGTATATCGAGTGTATAACCCGTGTCAGACTCTCTGCTGAACTACTATATAGCAGGAGACCACGGCAAGAGCAAACATGCGTAGCCCAGCCCATAATATTAGCGGTACTAGTGCACCGAGGATTTGTACTTTCATTTCACAATGTAATGTTGAGCATGAGAAAGTGTTGCCTTAACCCACATAAAACAGTAAAAGATCTCTCTTTGCGCTTGTGCACTAGATTTAACCCACCAGTAAGGATTTAAGTGCATTGAAAAACTTGGTAACTTTTAAGGTTTCACAGCCCTAGCTGTTTTTGGTCCTGAATGGGGCATGCATGGCATATGTCTGGCTCCACAATCATAACTGGGACATCTGCTCATTTATTTGTGGTGTACATGCAAAACTGGGACATCTGCTCATATTTGTGGTGTACATACAGTAAAAACAAATTTTTAATCCTCCAGCCCTAGCAAAGGTAAACTGTAGTGTGTGCACGCACACACGGCATGCGTGCATACCTGCGTGCGTGTGGGCAGGACTTACAATCTGATCAAGAGATGCCTTTGTGAACATGCATATGTACGGAGTTTGGTGTCATTGAATGGTTGTCTTGTCTCCGCCTCATATAGTATGTGCTGAACACTGCACTGCCCTGGTACCTCAGTGGGTAGAGAGCTCTGTCCTGACTGCACCTGCTGTGGGGTCAAATGCTTATTCGATCATAGCCTAGATGATTCATGGGATTATAGGCAATACCGGACTCTTCTCTCTTAGAGCAGCTTTGATGATTTAAGTGAGCACTCAATTTTGTCTTTTTCAGCTCTAAGTTGTGATCCAACACTGGAGGCCCCTCCTAATGGAACCATTGACTGTGACAGACAGACGGTGGGAGGGGCCTGCAACTTCACCTGTGACGAGGGGTTCACTCTGAGGGTAGGAGAGAGACGCACCTGCCTCCCCTCCCTCATGTGGAGGGAAAGACCCGCCATATGTGACCCTCCAACCTGCCCAGAGCTGGAACCTCCACTGAATGGTTTTGTTGTCTTCCCGTGCACCAGAGAGGAAGGACACTCATGTGATGCTGTATGTGCTCATGGGTACAGGGCTATAGGTTCCACGGTCCGCACCTGTATACGAGACTCCACAACTGACACTTTAGCCTGGAGTGATGGACCACAGTGTGTGGGTGAGTTCACCTTTGTATAAAAACAGGCAGTACATATGTACAGAGTAAGGTGTGTATGCCATATAATTATACAACCTGTGGAACCTCTGATTCACCCACGCATCATGCACGATGGCGGTGCGTGGTGTACTGGTTGTACACGAGTGTGCAGTTGTTTTGATACCACAAGCCAAAGCCTTCTTATAACGTGTTTGTATGATGACATCGGAGCGGTAACAGTGATTTTTGTATGATGACATCGGGGCGGTGACAGTGATTTTTGTATGATGACATTGGGGCGGTAACAGTGATTTTTGTATGATGACGTTGGGGCGGTAACTGTATCACTGTTACGTATAGGTTTGATGGCGAGTATGCTCTATGAGCCCGCAAGCATACTTGCCATCGTCAAACCTAATGGGTGTTTATTAGGGAGTGACTCAGCCCTCTGCTGTTGGTGGTAGTACAGCTAAGTGGGTGCTACTACTGGCCAATAAATCATACCCTATAATGCACTGTTGCTGGGGTAACACCAATCTGTTTTGGCAGCTGTGTAAACTCCTCTGAAAATGAATTTAAAAAAAATTGCTATCTATAACTATGAGGACACTCAGCAGGAACCGCTCACTACTACGCATCTACGTTGTTTGGAATTCCTTTGATCTTACTCTCAATCGTCATACAAAGTAATATATGCATTTTTGAATGAAGCCAAGGTGAGTGCAATACCCAGGGCAACTTCTTAAGTATAATACAGGCTGTATACCTGCTATGCTCAATTACAAAAAGTGGTGCAGTATGGTTGCCATCCCTATGTCTTTGTCTTTCACTGTGAAGTACTTTGCATTCGATATTATAAAAGAAATATGTATGTGTAAAGAGGAGCACTAGTTAATCTTTCAAGGGTTTGAGGCTTCCCTTAGAGTGAAAGCGGAAGTAGTTAATCCCCATTGTCTCCCACTCCCTGGGTAGAGATGTGCGGTATCAGAGAGTCGGTAGACTCTCTATATAGGGATGACACGGGTGAAATCTCACGTGATCCGCGTACAAAACGACTAAAAACTCAGTGAGAATCACTCCCTAGGCCTTCAAAACACACTAGCAATAGTGTACGGGCCCATATCTACCTATACATGTCTCCCAAGACCTCATACGCACCTTCAGTCGTCCACGCGAGAATTTGCTCATACGTGATTTCACGATTTTGGTGTCATCATCATATTCTTCATCTTCTTCTTCTTCTTCAGACCCGCTAGCTCCTTACTGGAAGCACTTGAAGCATTGATTTTTTCACAGAACGTTTTCGAAATTGCCAGAGGTGTGCACGCATATCAAGCAATCGTTTGTTTCTTGCCGCAAGTCACTACGGTAGATCGTTGAGCTCTTCCTCGGTAGTCACTGAACAATGCCATTTGCTGCTAACTCAGCATCAGTGAGTCGCATGCGCCGAGGAGGGCGTTTCCAATGCGGCGCGCGCGCATTTTGTCTCGTCCACGTACGAGACTAAGCCAGGACTGGATGCCTGCAGAGAAAACTACTCTCATCCTCCAGTGCCTTCTGTAAGTCAGTGTACACATTTGTAAGTGGCTATCTTGCGTTTTGCTGTTGATTTGCACGAGGAGCAACTTGGCGATCTGCGCTGTGTTACGCAGGCGCCTTCATTCTTTGTCCCCCGGGTTATAGCTATCATTGTAGTCTGATTTCTGAAGCTTGCCCAATGAAACCACCACCATATGTGCCACAACCTAATCGCGTCCTTGTTGGAGACACTACACCCTGCTTCAGGTAACAGCAGTCCATTAGCTTCTGCTCAGTTATCTCTACAACATACCCATGAACATCAGAGTGACTGAAAATGCAGTGTTGTCATAAGCCATTAAAAATAGTGGAAACAAGTGGGAAAATCATTTCTTCAAAATGAAAGGGGGATATAGGGATGGCTTGAAGCACCAAAAAGGAAGAAACAAGGGGTCATTACACACCAAATATGCACAAAGCCACATGACACCATCCCTATATCTTTGTTTTATTGTTCATAAGCAAAGTTTAATATGAGACAAAGATATAGGGATGGTGTCATGTGGCTTTGTGCATATTTGGTGTGTAATGACCCCTTGTTTCTTCCTTTTTGGTGCTTCAAGCCATCCCTATATCCCCCTTTCATTTTGAAGAAATGATTTTTCCACTTGTAGATAATATTCTGCACTAACCCTACACAGCTAGTTAGTCTGTTCTAACTGAAAAATATCCTGTGCTTATGCCGAACTTCTGTTTCAGTAAGTGACCCGTGCTCCCCCGATCCCTGTGCCAATGGAGGGACCTGCATGAGAGGCAGTGGTGACCCATTTACCTGTGCTTGCAATGGTACTGGTTACGGCGGACCAACATGCGAGATAGCTGTGATACGGTTTTCACCCCTTCAAACAAATGCTGATGGATCTTCCATCATCCTTGAGCTGAGCACTGAGGCAACACTAAGGAGATCAAGTGAAATAATTATAGTCACATTAAGGGATTCTGGTGGGACACGCACAGCTGTACTGAGACTTAGAAGGGACACCAGAAATGTCAGACAAACCGTGCCATCCACAGTTGGTATAATGATAGTTACATTACCGAAAAACAAGAACGAGTTCCTATACGAGCCTCGGGAGAGGAGGGTGTTCATTTCCAGCGGAACAGGAAATGAGGAAACATATTTCAAGCAGCTAAGTCTCCCCAGAGGCCAGTTGAAGCCAAGCTGCTGTGCTGCAGATGATCATGTGACCATCTCGTGTCCTGGAGCTACTACCATGACCATCTCACTAGTCTCTCCCTGCCAGTGGAGCACCAATAAAGCTCGTTTCACCAGGACCATTGGCAGTGTCTTTGCTCAGAGCAGCGATCTGATTCTTCCAACATCAATCTCAGGATTACGCTATCGAAATTCTCCTTATCAAAACAGTGTCAGGAATAGTGTGGGTGCATGTGAGCCCTGCGATACGTGTGCGAATGATGACGACGACAAATGTTACTGCTATGCTCACACTCCACAAAACACACTGGAATTTCTGCAAACTAGAGCTTTAGGGTTCACATACGTTAATGAGATCCAGATGTTACTTCCGTCATGGCTAGAAATGTCCGTTGACTTGGAGAACATTGTAGATTCTAGTCCAATCACAGATCTTGACATGTTTGCACCAATCACTCAAGCCAACGAAGAGGTTTCCTCAATTGAAGGCTGTGAGCAACTATCTACTCTGATGAGTGGTATATTTTCAGTGCTGAGACATGATAAGACAATTTCAGCTGTCATTGATGGTGAGAGATACAATTACACTGAGAGACTAAACAGTGGGGACAGCGACACTACAATGTGCTTTGCTGTTGATATGTGCCAAGGACTTGATTCCCCAGTTCACATGCAAATCTCCCAGCCCATAAGTGACATTCTTGCTTCTCAATTCTTGCGTCATTTCACCAGCCGTCAATGGACCTTTGTCTTTAACAATGTCTCGGTGTTTAAAAATGCCATGCCTCGTCCCGCTACTAGACAGTTTTGGAATGGTGTAGAGAGTATTAAAACACCAGACGTACTAGCCGATGTATCTATGGACATTGACGCAGGCCTAGTTTTTAGTGACACTGGCCTGGCAATGAGGCTCGAGTTCTCTGGAACAGTAGACACTAACTATGAGGTTTGTCCCTACTTTACTACTTCTACATTGTTAATGGTGGTGTCACACTCTTTTGTTGTAGGACAAGGTAGGATACCTAGAAGGTGGTGTGACACTAGCAGTAGACAGTACCATTGATGCTGGTGAACAAAATTTCCAACTCACCCGGAGCAATACTAATGCCTACTTTCACATTAGCGGTAAGTCTCTCAGAATATTCATATTCTACTGATTTTCTATTCTTGTTTCAGAGGTAGGAGATCCATGCAGAGCACAGGACACAGATCTCTATGGAGTTTCATTCATGGCTAGTTATGAACCTCAGCCTGGTGAGCAGTTCTTCACTCGACTTCTTAGATTCACTGAAACTACTCAAAAGTGTGACTTTGAAGCCTTCATTCCTATTAACAGTGATTACAGAGCTCTTGGGCTCAGTCTACACACTGAGTGTCCCCTGCTTGCAGTTGACGAGCTTATCTTTCCCAAAATGACACACACAATCACTTTCATAGGGTCGAGAGCACCCGACTGCCTAGTTAGAAGCTTTATTGGTGTGTCTAGTCCAGGTCTTGTGGTTGAGTCAGAGTTGATTAGTAATCGCCTACCTCTTGGCAATATCCTTGAGCTTAAGGCCAGTCCCAATGGGCCAGATCTGACAACAGTCTTTGACAGGAACACTGCTAATGGACCTTCTTCTAGATTACATATGGTCCAAGTGGCCCTGTTTGGTGAGATTTTTCTGACAGAGGCAAATATCCAGAACAATCAATTGGAGATATCAGCTAATAGCCCTGTCTTTGGATATCCAGCTCAGTACACCATCACTGCACCTTCCAACATGACTGACTGGAATGATCTTGAATACACACTCCAGGGTTCACTTCTCTCAGGTTTCATTACCAGCTTGTCAGCGGAAATTGTGAGTAAACTAAGAACGTTAGCTCAATCAGGTGATGCGCGTAGGAATGTGGCTCAGATGTCTCTGGATCAGTCGATGGAGAGGTTTGAGACTATTGAGGCTAAGTTGATGGAGGCAGAAGAAAATGTCACACGAGCGGAACAAGAGAGAATGGCTGCAGATGCCATGGTTCTCACCGCTCAGGATAGGGTGACGGAATTGGAGACACAATTCAACAGTAGTCAGGACGAATTGCGTGATTTGATGGAGATGCTGGATGGACTGTGCCAGGAGGAGACCTGTGAAGACGTCTGCATGGCTGGAAAGGTCTGTAGAGATTGCACAAGGCCAAACTTTATAACAAAAACAGGAGACTGTCCCTTTAAAGTGCAAGTTGCTAGAATGGTTCGCGTCCCTCCTTATGTTGTTGTGGTTCCTGGATCATGGACATGGGTACCGGCATGTCGCTTCTCAAGTTACCTTACCTGCGCTGGGGGCCTACTGTGTCAAATAGAAAATCGAGGTTACTGTTCAGGAGTGTGCACTAGGGTTCCCAGATTCAAAGAACATATTGAGTGGAGAACTGTGTATGATGAAATCGTCGAAAATAAGCCATGCACAGTCAAGAAATTCACTGGATTTGTACCTGGGACATGCTGCGAAGACATGGACTGTGCAGTGTTTGCCCCAAGTCCGACCTGCATCACAGACAACGCTATGTGTAGGTCGCGTCGACAAAATGCAATAGACGAAAGAGAGAATCTGAGTGACTGAGACTCGAGAGCTATTCCAACAGCTCTCAGATGCCAGGAAGAGCCTGTCATTGGCCAGAACTGCTGCCAAGAAGGCAGGAGTCAACTATGACAAATACGTACAAAGGAGGAATCAAATCCAGATGAGTCACAACAGACTCAGTGATGCACGCGGCACCTCCACGACAGTGTACGACATTACATTGGAAGAGATAGAGCCGCTCCTGAGAATACACCGAGCTGGGACCAGCAGTGGCTTTGAGGACATCTTCCGAATCAACAGTGTCACATTCGACACAAAGATAACCACGAGTCCCTTGGCTCTGGGCCTCACGGTCAACTTTGAGAAACTGATCGAGAACGATAACAGGGTGTTTGAAGAGACGTATGGGTATGTAGCTCAGAGGAGGGAAGCAAATCTGGAGCGAATTGCCAACAGTATCATTGACCTTGTGTTCACAAGCACCTCCAAGAGATCCACGACACTCCATGTGAGAGTAGGTAGGCAGGCAGAGGAGGAGCTAACTGAGAGAAGAGTGTTTGAGTCTCGTTGTGCACAGGCCACAAACACTCTTCTATTCCTTGAGGAGATCGAGACCAGACTCAAAGAGGTTCAGGAGAATATCACTGCATCTCGCGACGGTACGAACCAACTCTCGCAGAACTTGACCGACCAGGGCATGGCGGGAGACGAAGAGATCGAGGCCTACCTGGATCTCATAAGGGACTACGAGGACGTATCACTGGAAGCTGTGCGGACACTCGAGGAAACAATACTCTCAGACTGGCAGGCCAGTATGGAGCTGCTGTACTCCCAGTCCGGGTCGGTAGGTGAGGTCAGCTGTGACGGATTTGCCGACTGTCTCCAGACAGCCATCGATGAGCTCCTGAACCTGATTGGTCTGACGCCTGCTAACGAACTCGGTGAGGAGTTTGTCTCCCTGCAGCCTAGCATCGGGACGGCCGAGGAACAGGCACTGGAATTAGCTCTCTTCTCCAACATTTCCGTTGACGATGGATTGACCAGGATAGCTCCAATTATCGGCATTACGAGGGCTTACGTTACAAAAAACTTCTGGTGCAACGACCCTCCTGTAATTGTCACTCAACTGCCACCTGAAGTTAACATATCCCTGGGGGACACCCTGCAATTATCATGCGAGGCACAGTCAAATCTAACCTTTACATACGAATGGAGGAGGGACGACAATGTACTTCCACAGTTCACAACTAATGTTCTCACCATCTCAGCCATACAGAGGCTCGACTCGGCCAACTATACCTGTTATGCCAACAACCCAGTCGGGACAGCTGAGACAATCCCGGCCAGTGTGAACGTCTACGAACTCCCTCAGTTCTATCTCGATCCGGTCCCCGTAGTGACCTACCTTGGTGATGATGCCGGGGCCTGGTTTGCTTGTAATGCAACAGCCTGGCCCTACCCAGGCATCTCATCCCTCCTGATAGAGATTGGGATATAATTGAAGGGGAGGACACCAATGAACTACTTATTCTCAACCCCCAGGAGGAACACCAGGGCTGGTATGCTTGTGAGGCTTTCAACTTTCATGGCAGCCTTCGCTCTGAAGCTGTTACTCTAACACTTCTTCCTCTCAGTGTTACCCAGCATCTCATCCCACTTGAATTCTCCATAGCCATCACCAATCACTCTTGTAGTCTGGGTGATCTATATGACTCCGTATACATGCTCTTGGAAGAAACCATTGCCAGTGAAACAGTCACCATTGAAGACTACAATGTTACAGAGATCGATGTAACAAGCCATGTGATATCCCTAAATATACTAAGTCGAGATGTCACCACGCCATACTTACACCAGATGGCCTATGACGAGATAGCAAACCTGGCACTCCCACACACACAAAGCCTCATGAGGAGTATCGACATGATCAGAAATGTCCTGGATGGGGGAGACATTGGTAACGGTGTTTGTCCAGGGACAGGTGACCTATCAGTTGAAGAGGGATCTGTGGTAGTCGGGAAAAGAACGTATGTGTGTCCACCAGGGCAGAGGCTCAACACTGACTACTTGCTCTGCTGTAAGCCCCACATGTAGCTTTTGTATGTCGTACATTCATCTATCTATCCTTGCAGTGAGTTGTGAGAGAGGGAGAGTCTCAGTAGAGACAGAGCTCTCCAGGATAGTGAATGGTGTAGGGTACAGTGAGAATGTCCCGGTGTGTCAGGCGTGTCTCCTGGACACCTACTCAGACACACTGGGATCCCCGGCCTGCCTCTCCTGTCCAAAATACCACACCACAGACTCCACTGGGGCCACCTCTATCCACAATTGCTTGCGTAAGTCGACAGATGTATCTCAAAACCCTCGATACTCTGTTTTCCATTTCGTTTTTCAGCGCAGCCACTGGTGCTGGAGTGTAGTGCTAGTACCACCAGTGGCCATGTCACCATCGACTGCAAGACCAACAGACGGGTTCAAAAGACACTCTGCTCTTTCAATGATGGCGTCCAACACTTGTGTATGTACCTATCCATAACTAATAACTGTGTTAACTATGTATGTGAATCTCACAGGTTCATATCCAGTGGACATCAATCGAGATGTGTCTCCTCTTGGCAACCATTCCCTCACCATCTCAGTCGAGGATGACGAGGGATTCACAGCAGAGGCAATGGTCTCTTACTTCCTTCAGGAGGACATCAAACCAACTGGTGTATAGCTTAACTCTAGAATAAAAGTCTCAACCCTACAGCAAAAGCTTTTTGTAAGGTTTCCCATATGGGGTTGATTTCTGCCACAGGTGTGTTAGTAATGAATCTACTAATGATGTGTCGTATATTTACCAATCATATTATACCATTCCCAGCTCCAGCAGCAGTTCCTCCACTGGTGGTGTCACTAATCAACGGCTCCCCTCTAGTCCGCAACGACTCAGTGGAGGTGGACATATCTCTCTCACGACCGGTCCAGTCCCTTGTCTGCACACTGCGAGGAGACTCTGACACGATTGAGAAAGATTGTGAGTCAACCACTCTCTCCAACGACACCTATTCTATAACTATCTACACAAGGCACATACATAAGATTTACAACAGTATTCAGTGGAATCTACACTACAAACACTACAGTATTATGGAGCCAACGATTAGTCCCTTGTAGAGAGGTCATCCCTATCTCGGAGGGTCCCTTATCAGCGGTTCCGCTGTATATAGTCGGATGGTGCACAACCGGAAAAATACATGTCATGTATGCTCCTGTCAGCACTACATCAACAGACAGGGGTGTTTTATGATTGCAGCATAAGTCCATGTCCTTGTATCCATGATTGAAGACAGCCAATTCCGTCTGCGTCCACAGGTTCCGGCGGACATGTTGTGTTTGAGTCTCTCAACTCCACACGCTACACACTGAGAGTGGTGGCCACAAACCGCCACCCCGACACGGAGTTCATCAAGAGAAGATTTGAGATAACGAGTGACCCTCAGCGATGCACCCTCTACCTCATCAACAGGGGAATCACAGTGTCGGGAGATAGTGCCACTGTCGAGTTTTCTGGGAGGGGCCCGGCCAATGGATACCACTGTGTCCTTGACAAGATTGAGTCTTTTGAATGTGAGCAATACTGGGCTAAGTGTTTTGTCCTCTATACAGCATGTGCTGTCAAAGGCACGCTCAGTTATTGACTTTTGCCTCATTCCCAGGCAGTTTTTTTGTTGACGACTGGGAACAAGGCCACACTGACTTGTACTATTCACCTGTCCCCGCAGGTTCCAGCCCCGTGAAGCTGAGTGGACTGACTCCCGGAGAGCATCTCCTCAAAGTGGTAGCAGTTGGTTGCAGAAACAGAATGAACCTCAAGACCAAAATCCTTATACCCTGACTTATACCCTGACTCAAAGGCTAATGAATAACTGTAACGTATAGCTCTAAATAGAACTTTTGTCAGAGATTTTTTGCCAAAGGGCAAGGACTAACAAGAGCTAAGCTATGATAGTTTCTGTTTCTGTATGTAACTTGAACTCTGGATACAGTTTGTTCTTGCAATGACTACCTATACAAAGAGCAGATTTCAGCATGCGTAATAAATCTGGCTGTCCACTCAGAGTTCACCGTTTTCACTGTTGAGTCTCTCCCAATAACAAGTGGGTGTGTCAGTGAGTGTGGTTTATTGGACGAGCCACACCTTTCCTTAGCACCTTGGATACACCAGAGTACCCTCAGTGCCCAGGGGGGATGTGACAACTATCACGTGCAGCAAAAAGTTTGCTGAGTCAGGTGGCAGGAGTTTACAGTGAACAGAATGATCATACCATCCATGCCCATCCCTACATGTAAACCATACATACTTGGTGATAATGCAGGGAGAGGATAAGGGAATATGCTAATAATATTGTACTACACCATGCAATTTATAAGCACATGCATACTTATGCCACACACCAGATCCACATTCAACGGACAGGTTCACCAGTAATAAAATCCCATAGCCACAAACTTCCTCCACTCCAGCTGGTGACGTAATGAAAGCCTTTCCTGAGCTTCTCACCACTACACTTCCACTACTATTAGCACAAATCACCCCTAATGTATGTTGTACACAATGCACTTTACTACCTATGTGCAGCATGCAGAGGAAAGCAGGGGGAAAATCAGGATTCACCACTATTGTCATTTCCCACAGCCCTGACCCTGAAAACCCTACAATGCCCACTAGACAGACACTTTCCCATTGAAAGTTCCTACCACCAGCTGCTATAGTTTAGCTATGTAGGTAGGGGCGATTACCTGCTCACCTCTACACTGCAGTATTTTCAGAATGATTTGCCATCAGAGCTTCATTATACATGCAAGCAACTCCAGCTTCCACCTGCCAGCTGTTCGTTGTGAACTCAGAGGCAGCTGTCTTTGTGAATAATGGACGTTGAGCTTCCCACTGGAGCACACTACAGGAAATGGCGACAGGCCCTTGGAATATATAGTAGGGCGGTTGATATATTCTTACACTCTGCCCACAGTCCACCTCTGTATGTCAAACTTTCCTGTCTTCTGTAGTCCAAGGAAAGATACATGTACAATTCAGTGGAATCCCTCTCTAATAATAGAGCAGCAAGGAAAGTTCTAAGGACACCTCACTAATACATAATATGGACACTTTCTTCCGTCACACCTAGCAAGGAGTGACTCATTCATCTCTAGCTACGGTGACTGGCTCCATTTGCACCACATAGCTACATGTACTTGTAATTACCTTTTTCAGTCGTTCATAAGTCGAAGTAGAGCTACCCTAGAAAATATTTTTAGTGTTATTGGTTGCTTCTACTCCACTTCCTCGGTTTCCGCTGGCCGGCCCCGGGCGCGTCAGGAACTGGCGGCACACGCGCAGGAAGTTGGCGCGTGCGTGTCCGGAAACAGACCGGACATTTGCTTCCGATCAGCACAGACTACCACACTCTGCGATGAGGCCTTTTAGAGTAAAAGAAATAATCCCTAGTCAACAGACGTCATTCACTCTTCTGCTACGTATTTCCCATTGTCCTGGGGCCTGCGCTTTACGCATTGTTGTATGGGTAGTCCGAGACTAGTGTATGGGTCACTTATGAAAAGAGTCAGCCAGTATCTTGTAACCTGACAGAGAATAATATTTGGCTTAAATAATTATGCTGGCCAATATTACTAACAGGTAGGCCTCCACACCACTTTGCTCATGATGTTATGCCACTCCAAATACTGCTGCTAGTGGCTAAATCATGTTGCAGGAGATGTGGACTGGGTGGTCCCAGAATCTCGCTTGCCACCTCTTAGATATCCATTTTCTTTGAATCACAGTTAGGGTTACACTGGTCTTGCTAAGCCCTGTGTATGATCTCGTCCATGCGCAGAGGCATGGCATGCTTACCCTGAGAGATTGTGGGCACTGCTAAGTGTTAGGACATCCGTTTACGCGGAAGTCCTATCTCTAGTCTGCGCATGCGTATCAGCGGGCTGTGGGGGTATAAATTGCAGGGCTGCGGAGGAGTTGAGTATTACGACCAGCTATTAGCAGCAGCAACCAAAAGGAATCAATTAAACTGAACCCTATTTACTTTGAAGAAGAGATGGAACGTGCAGTGCTTGCCCTCCTCTGCCTGTCGGCCGCTTTCTGCTTCGCCAGTGCCCAGGACCTGCCGCGATGCCCAGACGATTGGCTGACCTTCTACGCCAAGTACCAACGTGGAAATTACGCTGAACAGTCACAGCCACTGTAAGTGACTACTTTTCGCATGCTCAAGCTATAACGGCGTATAGTTTATGACAAGTTCGCCATTGTCTTCTCTTTCATTCAGGCTGGTTGATCAGCGGTGCACCTACGAAGTCACGTTATCCTTCGGACCATTTGTTGTCACGCCCACCATCTCCATCTGCAAGGCCGGCACAGTTTCCCGCTTCGTCGCTCCATCGCCACTTGGCGGGGTTTACATTTGTGAAACCTTGAGACCCGCTGTCGATCAGCCTGAGCTTGCTCCTTTGGTTGTGCCCCTGAATGCCGACCTTGGTGGCAGCGCACTCGGGCCAGCCGTCTCCGAGGCCACGGAGCCACCCACCCGTCCAGCTAGCGTCACCCCTACTGAGCAAGCGGAGAGACCCACCACTGAGGGTGAATTCTCCGAGTGCCCGTCCGATGGAGCCTACAGCCGGAACAACTACATCTACTCATCATTGTAAGTCCCCAGTTCAACATTCACTCTACATTACTTCAGCAAAAAATTGTAGCCATTAGCTACCATTGCTCAAAACTAGTCTTTTCGGTGAGCCACCCGCTCCAAGACAAAACTACATCCCAATCATATCAACTCAGAGTATAGCTACTAGGCATATATAATTGACTGTTGTTTCTTTCACCCACAGAGGTCTAACTGTAAAGGTGGATTGCTTCATCAGAACCAGAGTACAGGGGTGAGTAACTATCTCACAAGTATTCATCATATTTGGCAGCAAAGTATCTTTTACACTGTCACTGTCGAAATGTTCACTGCTGTTAACATGGCTGTTGTCTCTCTATTCACAGATCTGCTAGCCAGCAGAAGACATCAGTGTGGGAATGTAAGGAGGGATACAAGAGGGAATTTGTCAGAAGGAACCAGTTCAGATGTGTGCAGCAGTAAATCTCCATCACTGACATCATCACAGGCATAATCATCAATCACTCCCTTTATTCATCTCATATCATCTCATAATTTGTTGTTCATAATAATTTGTGATTTTATTACTAAACTCAATACAACAAACTAAAATGGTGAATACTGGGATATATAGCTTCTATCCCTCATTATCCTCTAAAGAGTGCATGCTGCTTTCACAATATTGTCTAAACAAAGTGTGAGGCGACAAGCCAACCATGTTTAATTGTTTGGCGATCGTTGTACACCGGTGGAAGAAAAGGAAAATTTCATCATATTATTTTGACAATCATTGGGGTATGGAATAGCAATGTACTCTGTCTTACTGCAACTATCGATAGCTAGCTTTACCAATCCATCTTTTGCCTCTTTTTCACTGTCCCCACCTTCCAACCTCTACTAAGGGTGTCACCGATTTTGCATTTCTTGTAGGTACACCGGTGGAAGATAAGACTACCTAACACTGTGTTATATTTTGAGAATCGTTGGAGTATGGAATAGTAACAAGCTCTGTGTTCCTATCCCATGCATCTAGGCTCACCACTGTCTTTTTTCCTTCTCTTTTGCGGTCTCTTTGCCAATCCACCCCCAACCTTTAATAGGGATGTCAGCGATTTTGCATTTTATATGCGTACACCGGTGGAAGAAAGGATAATCTAACTAAACGTCATAATTTGACAATCATTGGAGTATGGAATAGCAACATACTCTGTCTTTCCTGCAACTACTAGCTTTACCAATCCATTTTCACCAATCTCTATATATATATTTCGCCTCTCATTTATGGTGTCATGTAGCTTGGTGCATCTTTGCTGTGTAATGACCCCTTGTTTCTTCCTTTTTGGTGCTTCAAGCCATCCCTATATCCCCCTTCATTTTGAAGAAATGATTTTTCCACTTGTATAATTATTGACTTGTATGGAATAGTAATGTACAGATCTCCCTCTTTTGCCTCTATTTCGCTGTCCCTTTGTCAATCCACTACCAAACCTTTTATGAAATTATTTGTAGGTACACCACTCAGTGGAAGAAAAGACAACCATACTATCAAAACCACGCACGCGCACACGCGCGCAGCGGCGTCGCGTGCGCACGCGCAGATTGAGAAGGCGTGGCTCTGCGATTGGCGAGCTGACTGAATGAAGGGGAGAGAGGCACACAGCTATGTACTGGTTCCGAGGTAGTAAGTTGCTCTGCCATCTCGCACGTATAGTAGCAACGTCATTGGGTCGCAAATATGTATGGGTCGGGTAATGGCAGCATGGTAAAACTATAGCTAACCACGATGAAGCATGGTCCACAGCCTTGACCAAACAAATAGTGCGGCGAATCAACGACACCCAGGATAGCAAGAACGACTCGTAACCTACGAAACTCCTTTTTTCTTCCCACGGGACAGCTAAGCCTGCAAGACTCTAGTAGTAATTTAGTAGTAGAATAGTAACTAATAACAACAAACATTAGTTGGTCAAAATAATGTTACTTGCAGGCAAAAAGAGCCTCGAGGAGAGTTTCCCTCACCACAATATGGCCCTCATCCTGCTATTCCAACTGACAATTACTTCTGCATACTCACTGGCCTTACCATCACTGTACAAGTTTATTACAACCCCTGCTGAGCGTCCAGAGGAAGTTGCATGCTCAGAGGTAAGCAAGAGTCAAAATGCATTGTTAAAGAATGAGTTCTTCACAGGGTGGCAAGTTCTGGCCTGGTCTAGGAGGGTCTGACTCTGACTATGCCTGGGTATTGGTGTCCTACAACCTTTTTGGAATGGTGGCTGCGCCAGTCGCTGGGATACTTCTTCACCGACTTCCATTCACCATCACAATCATCTCCTTTAGCATCCTCCTGGTTACTGGCGGAATAGTGTATGCTCTGGCAAGGTCTGTGTGGATGGCATTTGTTGGCTATGGTGTGTCGGGCGCAGGTGGAGCCTTGTGCACCATTACTATCCACACATACATGGGAGAGATGGGCGACGTAATGGATGACATCAGAAAGAAACAGGGGAAGAAACCCAGAAAGTTTCTGTTGTACAATATCTACTCGTTCACGCTGACAGGAGCTTTTATTTTTCCATTTTGTAAGAACACACTATTTCTCCCTTTATTACTAGAAATGTTCTCTCTTTCTCTTCAGCTATCAACTCGGTCATGGCACAGTTTGATATATCTCCCTACCACTGGCCTGGATGGGTGCTAGCTGCTCTAACTGCCACTGTTGCCTCTATCAGCCTTATTGGTTTTGTTGAGACTCGCTCAATTCCGCAAGCTAAAACTGCTTGCCCCTCCCTTACGAGCATAAAATTTAAAACCAATCCACGAAGCCGGGAAAGGAATAGCAAAATTGCAGTATCCTTCCTGTTATTGAAAAGCATAAAACTACCGATTTTTCCTTAACAGTTTTTTTTATGTAGTCCTATATGTTTCTGATCGGCTGTGGATTCCTTATTGGTATGGGTTACACTATTTTCACCAGCCTCATTACTCCTGTTCTGAGTGATCAGTTTGGGTTCACTGTACAGTACATATCCTATTTCTTTCTTGCAACATCAGCTACCTACTTTGGAAGCAGTTTAGTACAGTGAGTCAACACGATAGGATATATAGCTACTAGACAGTGTGTATGTTCATGTTCATGTCTCTTAGGTTAGGGGCCAAGTTGGCAGGTGTTGGTAACAGGAATATACTGGGATTGAGTCTTGTGCTGGTTCTGGCTGGATCTCTCCTGTTTGGTGACTGGCAGTCCATTGGACCTGACCCCTGTACCTCCTTCTTTTTAAATGCCACTGAGAGAGACTGTGGGGAGATATCCCCTGTCTCTGGATCTGGTAGTAGAGCAGGAGACGAGGCATTCCCAGTAGGACTCTCTGCTGCCAACACAACAGCTGTCCAGGAGCTGGTGGAAGGTTGCCAGGCTCTCAGTGGGCCCAGTAATGTCTGTTTCTGGAACCGACGCTCTCGAGTCACTGGAGATTACTGCACTGAGTGTTTGGGGACTTGTCTGAGCACAGAAAGGTCTCAGAACATCTACCAGCTGAGCGTGGCTGTCATTATCCTCTCCATTGGTTCACCTCTGGTGTATGTCTTTGTCCCTGCCATTGCATCAGACATAACACCTATCATTTCCCAAGTTCAGCTAGCTAATGGTCTTGTAGGCTTACTGTTATGTCAACTTTTACAGGGGAGAATATCAAGCATGATGTTTGGTGTTAGTTATTTTACAAGGACAGTTACCCCTTTCTGGTGTAAGTTCTAACATTATAATCTCTTATACTGTGTTTTAAAGAAAATTCTCCAGTTATCAAGGCCTATGAGGTGACAGGGAGACACACCTACTTTGCCATGGCCATTGTGTCTGGGTGTGCAGTACTACTCCTCCTGTCACTGCTGGCTCTCTACAAAAGGCTGGCTCCCATTCCAAAGACAAATGCCGTAGCCATCAGTGCAACTGGGAAACTCAGTTTTGAGGTTACAAAAGAAGGTGTGGACACTACGTAGCTAAAGTCTTAATTTTAATTCCATTCGTTCTTAGAATCAGATGAAAGAGCTATTGATGTAGAATTGACACTTTTGCCTGATGTATAGGTTTCAGTCTATTCAATTTACAAATCTGTGAAAGAACGGTGCAACCTTGTTGGTTTACATCACCATAAAGCAACCTGCCTCTATAAAGGAAGGAAGCTGTCTTTTTAAGGAAAGTAATTTACCATTATCGAGCAACTGTCGCCTCAGTCAAAGTATTGAGCAAAAAGCGATATCGACCAGTATATAACGCAGAGCCACTATGTCATTAAACTGGACCATCCACCGCACACATCTTGCACAAGGATCTCTAAATTGTAGATCACCTCCAATATATGTATGTTTTTTGTAATTATCATGTTACAACAGCATTGCTTTCCCATATCAAGTTACTCATGCACAAACAGCAGTTAACCCCAATAACTAGGAACTCTTGACTGTGTTTCTCAACCTCCCATCATTCTTTACTGGTATATATATACCATAACAATAGGTCAACAGGCAAATTTTCCTGCTATGTATACAAGTCTTCAATAATGAGGGTTACCACGAGCCTAACCATGCATTCTTGCATGATATCTTCTTTTGTGGTTGACAGGAAGAACAGATGTTCTCATTGCAATGTTGTCTTTTGGCTCTTACCTAGATTGGTGCCTCATTGGTTTTAATTAACCAAGCTCTAAATAGGGATTGTAATTCCATAAGTAGCTAGCTATGTACTATGAGGGCTAGTGGTAGCAAACGCGTACGGCATTCGCACTGCTCCGTCCGGCTCTGTCCATCCAAGCAGCTCATAATGCCGCGTTCCCTACGCAAAGCTGCGTGGAACTGCGCTCATGCACCCACTGAACCCTGTTCACCAAGATCCTGTTGAACCGGCCAGAGGAGCCGGTTTTGCCAACCAGTAGCTATCAACGAAGCCGGAACTGACAGCACTGACGCAGCCTGGCTTGAGTTAGGGATCTGATGATACGTTGGCGGCTGGCTGTTGGAAACGCGAAAGTAGAGAGCGCAAGATCTCAGCTATGTGCTGGTTACGAGGTACGTTGATAAAAATCGCCATAGCTGCCACGCCTCCCACCCCAGGTCCATAATTATTATAATTATAGCTATAATAATACCCTTTAGGTAACGTGCGCTATACGTGGTAAAATGATCGTAAAACAAGGAATACTTGTGGATTCACTACGCCTCTGCTGTTTACTTTCCGCAGGATCAAGATCAATAATTATGAGATCCAAGATGATCATAATTGACAGAAGATTCTTTCAGCATAGCATGGATTTACAACAGCATTATGCTGCTCTTCACTTTGACTCTCGGTAGAGAGTTTGTAGCCAATCTCGACACCATCTATAGGGAACTTAGTCCAAACTAATTTGCTGGAAATTCTCAGCACCTTTGTATATATGAAAATTTAGCAAGAATTCAGGGAATTTAATTATTGTTTCCCTCCTGCAGTTTTTCATAAATGCTTAGTTCAAATTCACCCTTCAAAATCGAAAGCATCTTTCCCGGTTTTAAAGTGTGCAGGGCATTACTAATGCCGTGAAAACCTAAGATTAAAAATGTTTTGCCTGCATTCCCAATAATGCATATACTTGCAGATAAGAGGAGTATGGAGGAGAGTTTCCCCCACCACAATATGGTGCTCATCCTTTTGTTCCAATTACTGGTTACGTCTGCCTACTCCCTAGCCATACCCTCCCTTTACAAATTCGTTACAACTCCAACCGAATTGCCAGATGAGCTGGTGTGCTCTGAGGTGAGTATATATGAATTCTTGCAGTAATGGTTTGTTTGCCAACATTGACAACCAGCGCATGCCAGGTAGCTATGTAATTTCACTCCCCACAGGGTGGCAAGTTCTGGCCTGGTCTAGGAGGATCTGACTCTGACTATGCCTGGGTAGTAATGTCCTACAGCCTTTTTGGAATGGTAGCTGCACCAGTCGCTGGGATGCTCCTTCACCGACTTCCATTCACCATCACAATCATCTCCTTTAGTATCCTCCTGGTTACTGGAGGAATGGTGTATGCTCTGGCAAGGTCTGTGTGGATGGCATTTGTTGGCTATGGTCTGACTGGAGCTGGGGTATCCTTTGGCACCATTACTATCCACACATACATGGGAGAGATGGGCGACATAATGGATGACATCAGAAAGAAACAGGGGAAGAAACCCAGAAGTTTCTGTTGTACATATCTACTCGTTCACATGACAGGAGGCTTTGTGTTACCATTTTGTAAGAGCGCTATTCTCTCTACTCCAGTCTTAGTCATTTTTGTGTTGTTTTTTCTTTCCAGTAATAAACTCTGCCAGTGCATGAGGTTGATATTTCTCCCTACCACTGGCGCTGGATGCTGCTGGCTGCCCTACTGCCACTGTTGCCTCTATCAGCCTTATTGGTTTTGTTGAGACTCGCTCAATGTCCGCGGTCTAAAGCATTCTGCCCTTCTATTGCATGTCTGAAGATGGAAACCAAGTTAAGAAGTAGTGTCAAAAAGACCAGCTGCACAGTATCCTCTATTCTAAGCCAGTAATAATAATTTTTCCCGAAACCATGTCATTTTCCCTTCTTTCTCCACTGAATTTACCACTTTAGCTATATACTATTGCTCTCTGTCTTTGACTCTCTGTGTTATGCATATATACCTTAGCCAGTTTTTGTAGGTCCTAACCTGTTTTTGGTTGGATGTGGCCTTTCTTATTGGAGCTAGCTACACAACCATCTTACCAGCCTCTCTCTCTCCTGTTCTGAGTGACCAGTTTGGGGTTCAGCATCAAGTACACATCGTACTTTTTCGTTGTAGTATCTACTGCATACTTGGAAGCAGTATTTACAGTGAGTACACTGGCAGTTCAGTGTTTTTATGTTTACTTCTTGTGCATGTCAGGCTAGGGGCCAAGTTGGCAGGTGTGGTACAGAATATACTGGGATTGAGTCTTGTGCTGGTTCTGGCTGGATCTCTCCTGTTTGGTGACTGGCAGTCCATTGGACCTGACCCCTGTACCTCCTTCTCCTCTAATGCCACTGAGAGAGACTGTGGGGAGATATCCTCTGTCTTTGGATCTGGTAGTGGAGCAGGAGACGAGGCATTCCCAGTAGGACTCTCTGCTGCCAACACAACAGCTGTCCAGGAGCTGGTGGAAGGTTGCCAGGCTCTCAGTGGGCCCAGTAATGCCTGTTTCTGGAACCGACGCTCTCGAGTCACTGGAGATTACTGCACTGAGTGTTTGGGGACTTGTCTGAGCACAGAAAGGTCTCAGAACATCTACCAGCTGAGCTTGGCCGTCATTCTCCTCTCCATTGGTGCACCTCTTGGTTTCACCTTTGTCCCTGCCATTGCATCTGACATAACGCCTCTGAATTCCCAGGTATATATAGCACTGTATTTATTGCAACAAACTAAGGTTATATTAATTGCTGCAGGGAATAGTAATAAGTGTGATGCTCGGTGTTGGATTATTGACAAGAGCAGTCACCCCTTTTTGGTGTAAGCATAAATTATAATTATACTTTATGGTGACTACTGCATTTATACTCTAGACATTCAGAGCTATGAGGTGACAGGGAGACACACCTACTTTGCCATGGCCATTGTGTCTGGGTGTGCAGTACTACTCCTCCTGTCACTGCTGCCTCTCTACAAGAGGCTGACTCCCATTCCAAAGACAAATGCCGTAGCCATCAGTGCAACGGGAAAACTCGGTTTTGAGGTTGAATAATTTTAATATGGCAGTTTGTAATTTTGCTGAATCTACAAGTGAAATGTTAAAAACAACCTGATACGTTAGCTACTATACACTGGGCCAGAATTTATCCCACAAAGACGATAAACTCTTTTCTGGGTGCGTGTGTGCAGCACATTACCTGGGAGGGTGGGAGGGACCGTTGATATTTCAACCTCACTGTAGCGTTTGCGTACGCATGGCGTAGTTCACATTCTAGACACGACTGAATGATTAAAAGTGTGCACACAGATTTATAAAGGCAGGAAGTGATTCTCACGCATGCGCCCTAATACTGCTACTTACAACAACACGGTAAGTAAGTGACCTACTACAACGTCTGCCAGCAATGGATAGATTCCTCAGTCGCCATGTGTCGCATAGATAGAATGTATATTTATAGTCACATATTTATTTTTGATAATCTATTTTTAACATTTCTATTTCTACCATTTCTACTATTAATTATATTTTTCTTACACGTGTATATGTTGTGCGTTATTTAAAGTAATCGACAGAACTATTAATCTTATTTTAGGAGTTCTATTTTTTCTATTTTTCTTACACGTGTATATGCTGTGCGTTATTTAGAATAATCGCACGTTTTTTATGTCTCCGTCGTGTCGTCGTGCTGCATGAGTTTCAGAGTTTTTATATTTTTCTATGAGTTTATTGGTCCTTTGAGGCTTTCTATTTTTCTACCGGCTGTTGTCTAGCTGTCATTTTTTTTGTATATACATGATTTCTATCTATTTATTTTCTAACTATGTATAAGGGAGGTTGGGACACTGGGTGTGTAGGGAGAGTTGGGCCCATAAAAGACTCTTTAACCTACCGCCCGGTTCTCAAGGCTGGGCACCCAGGGTCCTGCCTCTTTCTTTCTGTTTATATGTTATTGTCTGTGTTTTTGTACACTTGGGTATATATGTTATTGTCTGTGTTTTGTGTGCTTGGGTGGGGGAGGTTCTTTCTTTTCCTCTGAGCTAGTATGCTATAAACATGTTTTTTCATGACTCATGCGTACACAATAGTACATAAACCCAACTAAACAATACATCAAATACCTCACAGTTCCTCCCCTCTAAGTGAAAACAAGTCATTGATAGCGGTCGGGAGGATGTCTGTCTCGAGTTGATCTTCTGAGTCCCTCGGCCACAGTGTCCGATGGCTGAGACTCCACCTGTTCGGGTTCTTGTTGCGACTCTTGCTCTGGTCTTGCTGAATCGTAGTCAGTCGTGGGTGCATGTTCGGCTGGGGCAGTCAATGGGTCACTTTCAGGAGGCAGAACAAGTGAGTCGGATTGATTCTGCTCCCCAGTCTCCTCCGGAACTTGACTGTGTATCACGTGGTCCAAATGACGTCGCCAAATACGACCATCATCCATTTTGATCTGAACTGCCGTATCTCCTTCACACTCCAGTATAGTGCCTGGCAGCCAGCGTGGTCCTAATCCAAAATTGCGACCCATGACTCGGTCCCCCGGATGAAACGAAACTCTTCGAGGTTGCCCTTCCCGGTTCTCTCTCTGTCTCCTCTGTACCCTCTCTTTGACAGTGGGATAGAGAAGATCCAAATGCGTCCGGAGCCTGCGGCCCATCAGGAGCTCTGCTGGAGCGATACCCGTCGTAGCTTGTGGGGTTACCCGGTATTTGAACAGGAACCTAGAAAGTCTCACTTCCAGTGTTCCAGTCAGCTTCTGGACTCCTGTCTTCACCGTTTGGACCGCTCGCTCCGCAAGTCCGTTCGATGAAGGGTGGTACGGTGTAGAGCGCAAATGTTCTATGCCATTACACCGCATAAACTCTTGGAATTCACTCGAAGTGAATGCTGGGCCATTATCAGAGACCACCGTCTGTGGGAGACCGTGAGTGGCACATGTCGCACGTAGTTTTTCGATAGTCGCTGCTGACGATGTAGACGAGACGATGTGCGCGTCGATCCATTTCGAATGTGCGTCCACGATGCTGAGCAGTGTTTTCCCCAATACTGGGCCTGCATGATCAATGTGCAGCCGAGCCCAGGGCTTCTCGGGCCACTCCCAGGGATGTATTGGGGACTTTGCAGGCGCTTTCTGAGTTGACTGACACACAAGACATTTCCTGACCTTCTGCTCGAGATCGGCGTCTAGGCCAGGCCACCAGACATAGCCCCTCGCAAAGCTCTTCATCTTGCCAATCCCTGGGTGACCTTCATGGAGTTCATCCATCACACGAGAGCGAAGTTGTGGTGGGACGACAACTCTAGTTCCCCAAAGAACACAGCCATCCTCGACACTCAGTTCGTCCTTCCGTGTAGCATACGGCTTGAATTGTTCGTCCCCTTTCGTCTCAGTCCAGCCCTCCAACACAAGCTTTCGCACCTTAGACAAGCACGGGTCTCGTTCTGTCCATGCCTTGATCTGTGCTGCAGTCACAAGAGGGGAGTTGAGTCGTTCCATCAGCAGAACAGTCTCGTACGGTTTTGGAGGATCCCTGATTGTTGTCGGAACTGGCAATCGACTAAGGCCATCTGCGTTCGCTAGCTGCTCTCCTGGGCGGTGAACGATCGTGTACTGATACCCCATCAGTGTGAGAGCCCACCTCTGTACTCGTGCAGAGGCTGTCTGGGAGATTCCTCGGTTCTCTCCAAAAATGTACATCAGGGTCGTCCGTTGGGCGAATTCCTTCTTTGCTGATGCGGTGCCCCAGGTAAATCACATCGTCGGCCATAAACATGCACTTCTCCCTCTTCAGACGTACACCCGCGTTCTCCAGGCGAGTCAACACCTCGTCCAACGTACGTAGGTGTTCTTCCTCCGTCTTGCCCGTAACGAGAATGTCGTCGATATATACCGTAACGTGGTCCAGGCCTTGTAGGAGATTGTCCATCGTCCGCTGAAAGATGGCTGGTACGTGATTCCAAAGGGCATCCTTGTGTACTCAAACAGGCCTTTGTGCGTGTTTACGACAAGATACTCTCTTGCTGAGTCTGCTAACTGGAGCTGCAAGTACGCATGTGATAAGTCGAGCTTTGAGAAGGAGATACCACCAGACATAGTGGCAAAGATATCCTCACTACGAGGGATAGGATGGGTGTCGCAGATCATCGCTTTGTTCGCCGACACTTTGTAGTCTCCGCAAAGTCGAACGGACCCATCGTTTTTGGGTACTGCCACGATTGGCGCTGCCCATTGCGAGAACTGGCGAGGACATATGATGCCCTCTCGTTGCAGCCGCTCTAGCTCTGTTTCCACCTTCTGCTTCAGTGCAAATGGTACGGGTCGAGGTCTGTGGAAGGATGGTGGTACTTGCGGATTGACATGAATTTCTGCTTTCGCACAGGTGATTGTTCCCAGTTCGTTCTTGAATACGGCTCGGTGGTCATTTAGAACCGCTGCTAGTGCAGGAGACTCTCGGACGTAATACGTGTTCTTCCAATCTAGCCGCAGCTCTGTGAGCCAGTCTCTCCCCAACAAACTTGGCCCATTCCCCTTCGTGACGAGAAGTGGGAGTCGTCTCTGCTGCTGGTCTCCCTGACGTACCTCCACCTCCAATGCACCCTTCACTAGTATCTATTCCCCAGTGTAGGTTCTCAGCTTAGCTTTTGACTGACCGAGAGGAGGCCGTTTGTTTCCCCACATCTGGCGGTAAGTGACTTCGCTGATTACGGATAGCGCTGCCCCCGTGTCCACCTCCATTCGAAGAGGTTCACCATTGACGGTCAGCGTGATACCGATCAGGTCGTAGATCTTGCTTCGCAGTGGAAACATGTTGTACACGTTACTCTCCCCATCTTCCGGATTTTCTGTATTTTCTGTCTTCTCCTGCATATTCTGCGAATGTGCCCCTTTTTCCCACAATGGTGGCAGGTGGTTTCTTTGTGCCTACAGGAGGTGGCCTTGTGGTTACCACCCACCTATAACAGTTTTGATAGCTGTCCCTATCTCCCCTGCGGGTTTCCCCACCAGGGGCGTATACACTACTCTCAGGCGCCGCCTTGTGTACATTCTCAGGCACCACCATGTCTTCTGATCCCCCTTTGAGTTCCTCGGAATCCCTATCCGCCATCTCCATAGCCAGGGCCGTTTTTAGCGCCTTGTCGAAGTCCAACTCGGCTTCGGAGAGTAGCCCTCGTTGGATGCGAGGGTCGTTGATGCCACAGATGAGACGGTCGCGCAGCATCACGTGGAGGGAATCGCCGAATTCGCAGTCGATGGCGAGATGTCGTAGCGCTGCCACGTACTTTGCGATAGATTTCTCCTCGCTCCCGCGCCCGCGAGTTGAACTTGTATCGGTAGACCGCCACTCCTTGCTTCGGGTTGAAGTGAGTCTTCAGGCACTTCACCACGTCCGCGTAGCTGGTCCCGCTCGGCTTCTGCGGCGCGAGGAGGTCTCGTAAAATGTGGTACGTCTTCACACCACAGATGCTCAGGAGGACGTCACGTTTCTGACTCGCGTCTGTTATCTTGTTCGCTGCGAGGTAGAGCTCCACTCTCTCTACGTACGTCTCCCAGCCTTCTTCGGAACTATCAAACGCCCCTATCGAGCCGTGTGCCATCGTTGCCATATCCGATTCCTCGTCGCCAGAATGTAGCGTTTGCGTACGCGTGGCGTAGTTCACAGTTCAGAGATTATAAAAGTGTGCACACAGATTTATAAAGACAGGAAGTGATTCTCACGCATGCGCCCTAGTACTGCTACGTACAACAACAAGGTATAAATTATAAGTAAATATATACATCAATTAATACCTCACACTTCTGTGTTTCTTCTATCTCTCTTACTGGTGTGTTTGACAACAATAATACTAATAATAGCAATGCTATACCGCAAGGTGAGTTTATTCTTCAGTCAGCTAAGCGTTAAATATACATCACACACCCAAAATCACCAAGATCCGTTTTTTAACCGGCCAGAGGAGCCGGTTTTAATAACCAGTAGCCAGCCAGAGCTGACGGCAGACGCAGCTTGGGTTAGGGATCTGATGATACGTTGGTTGCTGCCTGTTGGAAACGCGAAAGTAGAGAGTGCAAATTCTCAGCTATGTGCTGGTTACGAGGTACGTTGATAAATAGCTAGATATAAATCGCCATAACTATAGCTAAAGGTGCGCGACGCCCCCCCAGGTCCTACCCTTTAGGTAATGTGCGCTGTGTTGGTAAAACGATAGTAAAACAAGGAATACTTGTGGATTCTGCTGTTTACTTTTCACAGGTTCAAGATCACTAATTACGAGATCCAAGATGATAGAAGATTCATTCAGCATAGCATGGATTTAGCTACAACAGCATTATTCTGCTCTTCGCTTTGACTCTCGGTAGAGAGTTGGTAGCCAATCTCGACACCATCTATAGGGAACTTAGTCCGAACAAATTTGCTGGAAATTCTCAGCACCTTTGAAAATTTAGCAAGAATTCGGGGAATTTAATTATTATTTCCTCCAGCCGTTTTTCATAAAATGCTTAGTTCAAATTCACCCTTCAAAATTGAAAGCATCTTTCCAAGTTTTAAAGTGTGCAGGGCATTACTAATGCCGTGAAAACTTAAGACTAAAAATGTTTTGCCTGCATTCCCAATAATGTATACTTGCAGATAAGAGGAGTCTGGAGGAGAGTTTCCCCCACCACAATATGGTGTTCATCCTTTTGTTCCAATTACTGGTTACGTCTGCCTACTCCCTAGCCATACCCTCCCTTTACAAGTTCGTTACAACTCCAACCGAATTGCCAGATGAGCTGGTGTGCTCAGAGGTGGTGAGTATGAATATAGCAGTAATGGTTTGTTTGGCCAACATTGACAACCAGCGCATGCCAGGGAGCTATGTAATTTCACTCCCCACAGGGTGGCAAGTTCTGGCCTGGTCTAGGAGGATCTGACTCTGACTATGCCTGGGTAGTAATGTCCTACAGCCTTTTTGGAATGGTAGCTGCACCAGTCGCTGGGATGCTCCTTCACCGACTTCCATTCACCATCACAATCATCTCCTTTAGCATCCTCCTGGTTACTGGAGGAATGGTGTATGCTCTGGCAAGGTCTGTGTGGATGGCATTTGTTGGCTATGGTCTGACTGGAGCTGGGGTATCCTTTGGCACCATTACTATCCACACATACATGGGAGAGATGGGCGACATAATGGATGAGATCAGAAAGAAACAGGGGAAGAAACCCAGAAAGTTTCTGTTGTACAATATCTACTCGATTCACATTGACAGGAGGCTTTGTGTTACCATTTTGTAAGAGCGCTATTCTTCTACTCCAGTCTTTAGTCATTTTGTGTTGTTTTTTCTTTCCAGTAATAAACTCTGCCATGGCAGAGGTTGATATTTCTCCCTACCACTGGCCTGGATGGCTGCTGGCTGCCCTAACTGCCACTGTTGCCTCTATCAGCCTTATTGGTTTTGTTGAGACTCGCTCAATGCCGCGGGCTAAAGCATTCTGCCCTTCTATTGCATGTCTGAAGATGGAAACCAAGTTAAGAAGTAGGGTCAAAAAGACCAGCTGCACAGTATCCTCTATTCTAAGCCAGTAATAATTAATTTTTTCCCGAAACCATGTCATTTTCCCTTCTTTCTCCACTGAATTTACCACTTAGCTTATATACTATTGCTCTCTGTCTTTGACTCTCTGTGTTATGGCATATATACCCTTAGCCAGTTTTGTAGTCCTACCTGTTTTTGGTTGGATGTGCCTTTCTTATTGGAGCTAGCTACGCCATCTTTACCAGCCTCATCACTCCTGTTCTGAGTGACCAGTTTGGATTCAGCATCAAGTACACATCGTACTTTTTCGTTGTAGTATCTACTGCATACTTTGGAAGCAGTATTTTACAGTGAGTACACTGGCAGTTCAGTTGTTTTTATGTTTACTTCTTGTGCATGTCAGGCTAGGGGCCAAGTTGGCAGGTGTTGGTAACAGGAATATACTGGGATTGAGTCTTGTGCTGGTTCTGGCTGGATCTCTCCTGTTTGGTGACTGGCAGTCCATTGGACCTGACCCCTGTACCTCCTTCTCCTCAAATGCCACTGAGAGAGACTGTGGGGAGATATCCCCTGTCTCTGGATCTGGTAGTGGAGCAGGAGACGAGGCATTCCCAGTAGGACTCTCTGCTGCCAACACAACAGCCGTCCAGGAGCTGGTGGAAGGTTGCCAGGCTCTCAGTGGGCCCAGTAATGCCTGTTTCTGGAACCGACTCTCTCGAGTCACTGGAGATTACTGCACTGAGTGTTTGGGGACATGTCTGAGCACAGAAAGGTCTCAGAACATCTACCAGCTGAGCTTGGCTGTCATTATCCTCTCCATTGGTGCACCTCTTGGTTTCACCTTTGTCCCTGCCATTGCATCAGACATAACGCCTCTGAATTCCCAGGTATAGCACTGTATTTATAGCAACAAACTAAGGTTATATTTGCTGCAGGGAATAGTAATAAGCATGATGCTCGGTGTTGGATTGTTGACAAGAGCAGTCACCCCTTTTTTGTGTAAGGTTATAATTATACTTTATGGTGATTACTGTATTTACAGTATTTATACTCTAGATATTCAGAGCTATGAGGTGACAGGGAGACACACCTACTTTGCCATGGCTATTGTGTCTGGGTGTGCAGTACTACTCCTCCTGTCACTGCTGGCTCTCTACAAGAGGCTGGCTCCCATTCCAAAGACAAATGCCGTAGCCATCAGTGTAACGGGAAAACTCGGTTTTGAGGTTGAATAATTTTAATATGGACTTTCATGCAGTTTGTAATTTTGCAGTGAAATGTTAAAAACAACCTTATACGTTAGCTACTATACACTGGGCCATAATTTATCCCACAAAGACGATAATAGTTGTTAAACTCTTTTCTGGGTGTGTGTGTGCAGCACATTACCTGGGAGGGTGGGAGGGACCGTTGATAATTCAACCTCACCTTCCTCATGCAACTCTGAATAGCTTGCAACCACTGCGTGGTCTGAGCCATTCTCGAATTGTGTCCGGAAGGCTCGGTCTCCATATCAACGGTGTGTGTTTGTAGCAAGCCTACTAGAAGATCATACTCTCTGTGCTAATTCATACTCAATTGATAGACTGAATAATACGAAACTGTCAGATTGGGTCGGGTTGCGCATAATGATCACAGTGTATCTCCTTCATTAACTGTAGCATCCCCCGTAATCGGGGGAGCTCTGAAAACTAATACCTATTGTAAGTGTATTTTACGCATTAATAGGTAACTTACTCGTGTGCTCAACAAACGCTGTATGAGTTATTTCGCCATCACTGCTACATCGTACATTAGTGGGTTTACTGAAGACACTCTCAGTGTCAGACACTACTAGTGTACCATTCACCACTGATCCCTCACTGGCTGGCGAGTTGCCTATCAGGAACGTGGCATCAGTAGCTATCACTCCGTCAATGATGCACTCAATACACGCAGTTCCAGAGGGAACATAGACAGTGACTGTATTTGACAGTATTGCTACAGTTGCAGTACAATTCTCTGGTCCTAGCTGGGTAGAGCTCACTGGTTAGAAACACCAACCTATTAATCCATCATCATGACTATACACACTGCCTTACCACAGCTCCACCAGACACAGACGACCAACAATCCTCGGACACGGAGGAGAAGCATTACCGCCGCTTAGCGCGATAAAATAATATTGGCGCATGCGCAAATGGTTAGTGGCAGAGGAATTTCTGTGACACCTGTGCTGTCCAAACTACTGGAGACGCTCATACTGGGCAGGTTAATTCCCAATATTCGAAGATCTGAATATCCCAAATATCAATCCAACTGGGTATCGCAAGCATGTTTCCTGCACTGATGCCATTTTCACCACCACAGAAGTGCATGTTTTCACACTACCTTCACGAGTCTGAGACAACTACCATGTTGTTATGATCTACAAAAGGCGTTGGACTCAGTTGAGTATGGTGTCCTACTGTGTCGTCTCTCTGATGCTGGTATTGATGCCAAGCCTGGAGACTTGTTCGTGCATGGTACCAATCACCACAGGCATGGTGAAGGTTGGTAGGGAGTTTTCAGCAGCTTTCTCCCTGGGAAGAGGTGTCAGACAGGGCTCAGGTTATCACCACTGTTGTTTCAGGTCATCATGGGACCCACTCCTCAACCAAATGGAGTTAGCAGATCTCGGTATGTCATTCAGAGATGTCTATCTGGGTGCGTCTGCCCATGCCGATGACATCAGGACCTTGACCAGTAGCAAGAAATGTCTGGAAAAGCAAGTGCAAATGGTGAATAACTTCTCACACTCCAGTGGGCTCAGTCTTAATGTGCATAAATGTGAAGTGCTTACCTCAGGTAGCCACACTCAACAATGCACCGACTCAATGACGACAAATATTGATGGACAACATATTTTTGCAAGCAAGGAAGTGAAGTGCTTAGGATATTGGTTGTCATGGGACCTGTCTGCAAAGAAAGCCATTGATGCAAAATCTAGATCGCTCACAGGTATTTGAAGGAAATCTTAACCCACTAAGTGGAAGGTCTCTCTTTGAGGTATGTATTGTACCCATACTATTGTACGACTGTGAAAACTGGCAACGAACCTCAACCCTTGTCTGCCAGCTGAAATCTTTCCAAGGAGAGAAGAATTCTCAAGCTCACTCCATATCACTCTACTTATTCCTCCAGAGTTGCTCTGCGGTGGCCTCAGTTGCTGCAAGAATCTTGTCAATGAAGCTTAACTTTATTCTCCATTAAGTTAATGGGACTCTACAGAATCAATTGCATCAAGTTGTATATATAATTCCGTCTGATCCACTGCAACCTCTCCCTCAGTACATGAGTGCAAATTCCTAGAGGAGCACACTGGACTGGACTCCTACACAGAGAAGGTGCTCTCTGGAGAATTTGATGGTCAAAGAAAGCCCTTCCAACGAAATCATGAAACAAGACTGGCGAATAACCTTGGAGAAGAGACACGAAAGAGATAGCACTAGAATTGCAACCCCGATTGCAAATGAACGTCAGTTGGTTGACGTTATGGGATGCAATGCTTGATGAGGGAGTTCACTGGAACGGGTTAGGTTGCAATCCTTGTACAAAGTGATAACTGGCCCAAAGTAGGCAACATCTCGATCAATATATAATAGCATATACCCACCTGCTCCACATCTACTAGAAATCCATCTACAACTGAAAAGCACTGGAAGTGCATAACCCTCGCCACTTTATTCTTATTTCAGCAGCCAATGGCTACTAGCTACACTAACTCAGTCTTTTGCACATGCGTGTTCAATACTAGTTACTACTACAGCAAGTGAAAAGCACTTGACAGTACATGACCCTCACCACTTTATTTCAGCTACTAGCTACACTACATATGATTCCTTCACTGAACGGATTCACTGGGGCGTGTGCTGCTCTCACTTCACCGGCAATCTCGATTCTACTCACTACCATCAATAGAGGCAGACCAGCAAATCTCTCCACACGCGCAACATCTACGCAAGTAGAGGGACCGTTCTATTTGACGCACTATCACCTCGACAGCTGCCGTTTCACAGCTTCCCTGCTTCTCGATCCACAAATACGCCTAGGATGCTCGTGCACGTAATGCTCCATGCCAAGCTGCCTGGTGGACCACGACAGACGAGCTGAAGTACCGTTCTGCTCACCTGCTCACCGCTCGCCAATGTACAATACGCATAGAACGGCGACAGGTAGATCGTCTTGCTTCCACGAAAGGAAAGCTAGTGCGCTGACGGCACACGTATACAAGCCCGGGAAAATCCCAAGTTGGGTCGATCCCGCTCGCCAACAATGTTTCACATTCCACTAGTTGGCGAGCGGAGAGCGAGCTACCCTAGTGGTACGAACGGCGCGGAATTTTCCTCATACTATATCTATATATACGTCGTCCATACTGCATGCATGCTCTAGGATCAGCGCGCTTCTTTTACCGAACGCATTTCAATTTTCACATGCTGTGAAGAGTCGTGCACATAATATAGTCCGAAGATGCCCTTCGTCGTCGAAGAGAGTGGGAAAGAGATTACATCGTGCCGTGAGACTCCTGAGCAGAGAGGCTTTTTGTATCAGCGTCGCTTTCGTGATAGGGACGCGCGAATTTTTACACTCTGCCTAGCTGTCATATCGAATGCGAAATGTAGCCAGCCAAAACAACTCTCGTTGGCATTCGCTGGGCTCTTCGAGAGGCTGTCTATACCATCCTTCAATCTTCGTGATCTAAGGTGCTAGTTGTAGGATAGCTCGTGCAGATAGAGTCATTGTGTGCTCGCTCCCGCTCGCCCAAACTGCCATGCATATCGCCTAGTAGTAATATAATGTCCACGTGTCACGCTCAGAGCTGCCGCGGTTACAGAGAAAACGGTATAGACGGACGGACGGACACAACGCGCACACACACAACACACACACACACACACACAGTACAGTACGTACGTACGTACACACAGACAGCAATACCCTCGCTGCGCTATGCGCGCAGGCGAGGTTACGTGGTTGGGTGAGCAGTGCTAACATCACGTCAACAAAGAGACATCTTACTGGTTGCTAATACAAGTTCACCAATTATAGTTCCTAGCTGTGTTTTACTATATTTGTCTGTCCTTTTTATTTTACTTTATGTGCGCCTTTACAGGTGTATGCAATATACTAGTGAACACGCATTACTGCCGCTTAGGCGATAAAAATAATGCCAATGTCGTGCGGCGTCGCCTAAACGATTTTGGACCGTTGTAAGCGTAGCTAAACTTCGTTTCTGTTCTATGATATCTGTTTTTGCTGGTCTGTGGTGACATGAGATCCTCGCAGTGCAAGACGCACATTGCACATCCATCTCCAACTCTCTTCTCTGTGTCTTCTGCGTCGATCCTGTGTGCGCGAGTTATGACATTGTTCGGATAGTGTTGGCAGAGTTCTGCAAAGGTTTCCACACCTTTCTTTGTAGAATACTACCTTTTCATCACAAGTGCTCCCACTAGCAGACCAGTATTGACCCAAGACAAGGAGAGAGAGAAGTAATGTACCTCCAACACTGATATGGTTTCGAAGAGGAGACGCTTTGTCCTGTGTGAGGCACATAAACATGTTTGTAAGAGACAGGCAGTGGGACCATTCTAAACATAGTAGTTTATTTGGCACCTATCGCAGGGGAAACAAAACGTTGACCTGGGTCGCTTTGCAGACTGTTTAGAACCCTTTCCTTTGATCTGCAGTCAGGGCGAGGGTCCCACACTCTAGTACTGGTATATACAAACTGAGTAGTGTACACATCAGTGGACATCTCTACACTGATAGGTAGCACAAACATGACACCTACAATCGTGCTGCTTACTACTGCCTAAACCTTAACACACAACCGACATATGGAGAGTCATGCAAAACATTAGACTGTGTGTGGGTCCACTTACCATAACACTGTAAGTATGGAATTACGAATGCTGTAATGAATCGAACATTCACGTGTCACTAATATGGACACTTCATTCTGTCCCACTAGTGTCCAGATTAGAGGGGTTCTAAGGACACCCCTGAAATGAATAAGGAAATCTTTCCCTAAGAACAGTTCTTGCATGCAATTTTACCAAGACACCTCACTAATATATATGGACAGTTTCTTCTGTCCCATTGCACACTTTAAGAGGGCCTAAATCAAGTGTAACAGCGTCCCTAAGTAAGGACACACCCTTCATTGTGTTGTCCCCAGGTGTAAACGCCTGATTACCAAAGCCTGCCCATGAAACCACAACCATGTGCAATAACCTAATTAAGCTTACATCCTTGTTGAAGACAATACACGAGGTGAATGTGGTATCTAGCCCCTGCTTCAGGCACTAGCAGCCCATTATCTCAACAGTTAGAGTTTGTCTATGGTAGCCTATCTACAACATACCCATGAACATCATAGTGACTGTACAATAAACAAGTCTGCAGTGTGTTGTCATAAGGCTGTTAAACATAGTGAACACAAGTGGAAATAGAAGATCATCTTCTTTCTTCAAAATTGAGCGATATAGGGATGGCTTGAACGCACAAAAAGGGTCGAGAACAGACGTGGTCATTAAGCACAGCAAGATGCACAGAAGCGATAAGCATGACACCAAGTCCCGATTCTTATGTTTGTTACGACAACAGTTTTAATATCTATCGAACACAGATCTAGGGATGGTGTCATGTAGCTTTGAGCATCTTGCTGTGTCAGCCTGCCTGTTTCTTCTTGTTTGGTGCTTCAAGCGCGTATAGCTAGTCATATTTGACGAAATGATTTTTGTTTCCCACTTGTCGTATCAGCTACGTACTTAGAGGACTTTGGAGGACATCATAATGGATGACAGAGAGCCACTTCGTCCTCCGGAGGACACGGACAGAACACACAGCATTCATTTTCCTTCGGAGAACATTGGAGGAGGAGGTAGAAAAAGAGGTAGACGAGACAGAGTGTGGTTGTACGAGCCTACGAGTGGTGAGCAGAGGTCTAGAACAAACCCTGAATTAATGTCACAGAAACAGCTGCTTGTGGGCCTTGGCTGTCAAAAATGCAGAAGCTCTGCCTGAGGCCTTGCAGCTCACAAGTAATCCACGCAGCTCGACAAAACAACACACGGCATTCTACGTATTTTACAGACTCTGCAATCTTGCTAGTGTGGCGGATCACACACACTGTATCGACTCACTGCGCAACAGCTCAACACTCTACAGGCTGGTGTAAAAATTCACGATAGACGCGTGTACAGGGGCCCAGAAATTGAACAGTTTGTGTTATGTTCTGTGGTTAGGAGACTCACATCTCCTTTTTCTAGGCTGCCACACCAACAAAACTCTTACTTTGTCTAAAAACGGTGCAAATCAGAACACCGCTACCGCGTTGCCTGTACCACAAGCTCAGCGAAGTTGTAGCGCAGTGTGTGTGTGTTGTTTCGCTGTGACTCACTGCTAGTAACAGTTGGAGGAGTAAGACAGTTGCTAATCTCCAGAGTGGCACTTTTGGTGACATCACAAGGTGGTGAGGCTGCGAGAATAGAGTGTAAGAAGTGCGTAAAGGGCAGCACAGAGCATTAATTCTTACGAGGCACACTCACTACGTATTAGTTAACGTGTAGGCGGCGAGGCGGTACATACAGGATATACTCCGAGGCTGTTGACTATACTGGACGAGGGCGTACCCGAGGCCGGTATTATATTAAGCCGAGGAGGATATCCTGTACGCACTGACGTTAACTGATTTGTAGTCCAACTAGCCAATCACAATGCTGAATTTCTGCTGGTCATCCTGTATAATGTGTAAACTTTGGAAGCCAGACAATTTGGACTATGCCTAGCGCTAGATGGACTTCCGTTTTGCACGTTCAGAACGGAAGAGAGGACGAGAAGCTCGCGGAGCGCCCTTCCAGCAGCGGTTTGTGTCACCGTCTGAGTTTTTATTTTTTTATTTTTTATTTTTTTTTTTACGTCACACGACGTTATATTATATACAGTATGAATGCAGGTATAAATAAGAAGATAGAGAGCAATTTAGAGTGATACAAGGTGTGTTTCCGAGATGATCAAATCGACCGCCATGGGCATTCTGATGGCATGTCCGCATGATGATCTTGCACCCCTGATGGCCTGGATGGAGGAGCGTAAAAGGGAGAAGGCTAGACGACAACGTAGCCAGCGGAGAGTGTGGCTGTAGGTGTGGTCCCACTTGGAGGCGAGCATGGAGGCGAGTCTTTTGTAGAAAGTGTTGGCCTCCCTGGCCAAGCAAACGGTAGCAGAGAGCACCAGAGGCGTGAGGTAGCATGTTCAACTTCTCTTATCCGCTGTTCATATGCACGCTTCTTGATTTGTTCGTGCTTTCTGTAGACTGACTGCAGGTTGGTGTGTTCTGTTTGACGGGGGCATGGGGATTTAAATACCCTAACGTCGAAGTAGGTTCTCTCGAAGGTACCACCCCAGACACCATTTGCAGCGATATCAAGGCGGGCACCTTCCTGGGAGTTGGCAGTTGACCCCGTCAATTCTCACCGTTCACAGGCTGAAGCTCTGGCTCAATGCACACGTCCTTGCACACTTCTGTGAGGAGGGGTAGCTGTCAGGTCCCGTATCTCTTGTGCCTGATCGATGGAAAGCCGCCCTTGGCACAGGACAGAGCATGCTCAACTGAAAAAGAGGCACCACAGATACATTCGAAGGAAGTCTCTCTGGTGTCCAGCCGTACCGTAATGCCAGGGCATCGTGGAAAGCTCCTTTGTGCAGGGCAAGCCATGCTCTGAAAGTGGCAGGACAGTGAGCCAAGTGGAGGATCCTTTCTCGCTTGCTAGTTTCACCGACCTCTGCAGGTTGTCTGGTAAAAGTTTCTAGCACATCGCCGGCGGCTTTTGAACGATTTTCCTTGTTTCTATTTCTAACAATGGCCTTGGATTCCAATTGCTGGGCATGACTTCATACCCGTAGGCCTCATCTTGTAGTGTGATGTGGTCTTGGAGGGCAGAGGTAACCAGTAAGGATGGACTGATGTTCCTGGTCGGCTTGAGTGGAAGGGATTGTTATTCCCAGTCCACCCATTCTTGCTGGCAGGGCAAACATGGCACACTCCAGGTCACGAGGTGGGGGCCTTCCTGTAAGTGTTGGGATGAGTTCGGTACGCAAGATGTCATCGAGCGGCTTTAGTAGGTTGCTGATATTGGGAACTGTGCGACATAGGTAGGTCCACTTGCTTGAGAGACCATGTGTGAGAGCCGAGTAGGCTGCATGTGGTTGAGTCTTTGCTATTGTTGTTAGGTTGCGCACCATGGATAGCCAGGAGTCAACCCTCGACTTCACATAACTCTCCACGTACTCGGCTGAGCCAACTGCTGCACCTAGATATGGTCTGCCATCGGATGTAACATTCACCCCTGTGCCAGCAAAGGTAGAGAGCCCAGTAGTGTGACAGCCTTCCTTTGTTACTACCCACGTCTTGGATGGATTGGGAAAGTAGCCGAAGTCAGGTCCTTCTCTGGTCAAAAGGTCCCACCACACACGCAGGTCTGCTAGCTTTCCTACGGCGGCTACATCGTCTGCATACCAGATCTGCTTGCAGTTGCCCTTCAGTTTTTTGATAAGAGGGATGGTGGCGAGGGCATACATGGGCATGGCTAGTGGGTCCCCTTGTGTCGTACCTTCTTGGGAAAGTAGAGTGTCGCCATCCACGAACAGTTCTGTTGATGCTCTGTATGTGTTGATGAGTATGGGTGCGAGTGGTGGACAGAGCCTTCTGATGTTATGAAGAGCACCTGACGGTTCAAGGAATTGAATGCGTTGGTGGCGTCACCAGGAGGACTGCTTCAGTGTCACTGGAGTCAAAGGCGGTTTCTCACGGCATGCACTGCTGCTTCGATGCCAGAAATCTGTCCTCCACACATCTGGAGACAGCCCGAGGCTTCCTGGATGTCAGGTTTTCATTACTGACAGCACTGCTTTGGCTAAGATCCGCCGCACAGTATCCCCAATGCCTATTGGTCGGACACCAGGGTTCTTGTTAGGGCAATGAGCCGGCAGGCCAGAAGAGGTGTGATATCGATTTTGGGTCGACATATGAGGTGCATATTCTTCTTGCGACTAGGGCTAATGAGTGGCATAGTTCACTTGAAGCCCCTTTGAAAGATGTACATAGTCTCCTCCACCCATGTGCATCTATACCAGATGGTCCGGCAGACCCAGTGATGTTCATCGCAGCTGAGCGAATGACACTGGCATCGATCGACTCGAAGATCACAGGATGTGCCTCCTGAGGGGGAGATTGAAGGATGCAGTTGGAATTGGCAGTCTGGCCTGTTGGATGCTTACTGAGCAGCACCTCCCGGACATTAGGAGAGTCGGTAGTTGGATTATGTGGTCGTCTAGGTGTAAAATGCCACCTTCGCCAGTGTTGGAGAGGAGATCCAGGGCAGCCTTGCATTTCCCTGCAAACATCAAGTCGGCGAAAGACCGGGCGTTTTTCTCTTTAGATTTTGGTGTGAAAGTTTTCGGCAGCCTGCCTTGAATTGCACTGCCCTCTAGTAGTAGGTCATTCAGATGCCTTCTCTCCAGGATCTAAGTCTCCTCTCAAGAGAGCTGGCGTGGTCCTTAGCTTTGGAGGCTTTTTGTGGTTTTTGCAAGAGCAGGATTGGGAGGACAGTGGCAGCCTTAAGTGCTATTGACTCAAGAGCCGTGGCAGAGGCGAAGGCTTGAAAAAGCCTTGATAGTTCGCTGACAAATTCTCTCCCCGCTTTGCCAAATGGCACTGTGAAGGAGTTACGTTTCCAGTGAACTACTTCGGAGTATGTAGCTTCCAAAATGTTGGTAAAATCAATAGCACTATGATTTCCCCACGTGAACGCTGGTCTACTCACCGTTTCAGGTGGTGGTAGTTGTGTGCTGCATTCGTTGTCTGTATCTGTTGGTTGGACGGCAGTATTGGAGGCAGCGGTTACTTCCAGGTCGGTTGTTGGGGGGGCGTTTAATGGAGTCGACACGGTTGACGGCGGTTGAGAGCGGGAGCTGTTAGAAGAGCTGTTCACACAGGTTCCCAGCTTGCTAGGGAGGCAGTTTGTGCAGGGTCTTCCGGCCTTTACACAGGCGCACCCCTTACAGGAGCCAGTCCTATTGCACCTACAACAACACGGCATCTCACGCCTGCGCTGCCCTGTTGATCACCGTCTGAGTCGAACTCCGTCTACGAAAAGGCCGCCGAGGGCGTCATTCCCGCAAAGCGTACGCTAGTCCGCGGATATCATTCAAAAACTGTTCTGTATGTTGAATATAGTACTGGCGGCGCCTTTGATTCACCCACGCAAAATACAATTGGTGCAGCCCTCAGCCCACAGCTCAGAACACAGCGTATATTCCTAGCACCGGTGTAGCGGTACGTTTCACCCCCCCCGAATTTTTATCCGGCCGGATAAAATTTCCTAGGATATTCTATCCGCACCCGGGATATTTATACCCCGTGCTGTGCGTTATTAGGAGTGTCGAAACGCAGGCGGTGTGTTGTTTTGAGGTTCTGTGCTCTATTGAGGGGGATTTCAACGTTACAGAATGCAACGCGGCCGCGACCCGCGCAACCACTGAGTGTCTCGACGAGAAGAGGTGCAGTCGTGCAGATTCAACTCGGTATACAAGAGTACAGTGCAGAAACAGCGAGCAGCGACAGAGCCAACAATATGGTTGATTTCCTGCGCATTTAGATGCGCAACGTATGCACAGCAACCTTTCTTTATTCGAAGGATAATTAATATCCAGACCCCAGATATTCCACACTAAGAGTGTACTATCCTCACGGATCCCCGGAAAAACTGTATATACGGGGATAAAATATACTGTGACACCGGGTTGTTTGAAGTTGGACTACAGTATAGCCACTAGTACTGCCATAATGTGTAACTACTGTACCTGAAAGTTACGAGCCACACACACTATACTAACCACTGTAGTACTGCCATAATGTACTGTACCTGAAAGTTTCTCTACATTAGACTGTTCGTCATCTTTTGTCGTGCACTTGTAACTGCCCTCTTGGGCCTGGTTGAAGACGAACGAGATGCTAACGTCCGTACTCGCCGTTACGGTCACCAGATCAGACGGAGAGGTGATTTCTAATTCTCCTCTCCAAAACTTGGCTGGTCTTTGGCTTGGTGTAAGGTCGTCAAAAACACTGTTCTTGCAGGTCAAGGTAACATAGCTGTAGTTGCCAGTCTGCGGGTAGTCTATTTCCAGCAATATCGCCGTTGTGGGACTGGGGGTGTCACCAGGGGACACCAGGTTTGGGGGAATTGTGACCTCATTTAGTTGTTCCTGCGGCGGCCCAAAACATTGGTCATTGTCTTCATAGTTGTCGCAGTTGAGGTGGTCTGGCCAGGGAAGACCACCTGCCCGCTGATTGAATACTGGCTCACATCTGTCACGTACATGCAGACAGAGACGCTTACACGGACGGGGAACTCGGACGGGATGTTCATCAGTGCAAAAAGGAGCGTAAATGGAACAGAGGAAAAGTACAATGGCCCCTGAGCAATTGACTTCAATGAGCTGGCGAAACTGTTCTAATTCTTGGTTGGCTTCCGTCTGGCTGGTGTGGCCCCGAAAGTTAGGAAAAAGAGTATAGTTCCAGGGCATGTCCTCACATATCCGAACGTCCGTAACGGGCTGGCATTTCTCTGGCACTATCGTCGGCTGAGTAACGGGGGTTGAAGTGTTCTGTCTCTGAGCATCTTGGGCATTGGCGTACGGCGAGGCAAGCATTGCGCTTGAAATTACTAGAGGTAGCCAACTAGCCATGCGGAAACGGCTTCCACCCCTACCTGCAGCAAAAGACCTAACGTGCATCAATAGGCAAGCACGAACTTAGTTGGCGAGCGGGAGCGAGCTAACCTAGTCGTTCGTTCGAGCGGAATTTATACGTCCCGTGGTCCGTCCGTCCGTCGTGTAAGTGCGCATGCGCGTATTTGAACGCGCTTCTTTTTATCCGAAACTATTTCCAACATTTTCACACACGGTGCCTCGCGATATGCGCCGATCGGTCTATATATTATATAGCCAGCTAGAGAACTCTCCTCCATTCGGCGGCATGCACTGCAAACCTTCGGTGACTGACCGAGGCTGTATATTATACCTCTTCCCAATCTTCATGGTTCCAAGCTGCAACGTGCAAATACGCTAGGATTGCTCGTGCACATACTGCTGCATGCCAGCTGCCTGGTGGACCAGCTAACACACGCCGCGTTGTCGGGCAGCCCGATCGATCGCTGCCTAGCCTACTGCCATGCCAGCTGCCTGGTGGACCACGACAGACGAACTGAAAGCCTAAGGTAAGGACCGTTCTTCTCACCGTTCTGCCAATATACAGTACCCATGTAAACGGCGACAGGTAGCTCTGTCTTGCTTCACGAAAGGAAAGCTGTGCGCTACGTTATGCAGCCCGAACATCGCGGACAAATCCCAAGTTGGGTCGCTCCCCGCTCGCCAACAATGTTCAACATTCTTCTAGTTTATGTTATATACTTGATCTGACTTGATTTGCGGAATTCACCATATAAGTATACGACCAGTTGCACGAACGCAAAAGTATGCGAGATAATTGAACGTTACGTCACATCCGGAGTCTCCGTTCGGGCTTCAGAACAACTGTCTGTACTTAGAGCGGCGCAGCGCGTCAGTTACACATCGATTCCCAGTCATGATACTAACAACTATCCTTTCTGAGCTAGCCCAGATCTCCGCGCAGGAACTAGCTAGAGCGTCCGTTCCATACTACGGTTACTGTAATATCGCAAAAGAAATAGAGCATACCGTAAAAAGCTACGTGCTGCGCCGATCTAAGCACGGCAGCATCGCTGGACCCCGAACGAGACTCCGGACGTGACGTCACGTTTCCTTGTGCCGTTCGTGCCACTGGTCAGTTCCGCGGCCGAAAGAGTATATACGACCCAGGCTAACGACTCCATTGACAGTGCTATTGTACATCGCGTGTTTATTTTACACACACTGTACTACTTCTGTCTTGTACCACTGACTTATGTTGAAATTCTTTATACGGTGATATCCCCAAGTCCTTCGTCTTCGCGGCGTCTCAAGGCACAGGGAGATTTTCGATTGCTAATAGATAATTGCGTGCGAAGATATCCCGCTTATTCGTGCGGAAATGACGATTAGTGGCCAGTCCAGTCCAGTCCAGTCCAGTCCCTCTGACGCTTGCTTTACTATATCCACGAATTCGGCTTCTGCGCAACTCTCCTGCACGCATGCGTAATTCTGCCCAAATCGACCCCTTTCATCGCGCGCACGCGCGCTGTGGCGATCTTTCTTTGTGCCGTTTTACAGACCTACGTATATACAGCCTCTGTGCCTGCCTTTCAGCCTGCTCTGACATTTATGACATATCTCACTCAATCCGGACCTTGTCGCTTTATTTTTTTGAGTACTGAAAGGGTAGATGAAAGCAACATCAAAGCTCCGACCGCCACATCCATGTGCCGACCGACCACTTTTGAGGATGCGTGGGTGGCCATGCCGCCCGCTTACAGGGTCAAAGTTCACAATTGACGTTTCTATAATATAGAAGTGTGTAAATTTACAACATTTTGTGCATGACCGAAACTTTCGGTCACAAAATGTTGTAAATTTAGCTAGGATATATATTCCTGAGTCTCACTTTCCAACACACTGTTATTCTTTGAGCTAACAGCACCAAGGTTCACACAAAGTATAATGGAAGACAGCACAAGATCTCACTGTTGCAGACCTAGTGAGGAAATCTAACTAATGTCCACCTATGGATGCAGAGAATGTATGCACACAAGCATACTTGATTCTGTTTATGATAAGGAATTTATGGCATACACAGTAAAGCCAGAGCCTTGTTCCAGCACAGGTGTTAGCAAGTTTTACAACACATAATACACACAGATAATTTAACAAACATTCAAAGAAATAATATAGAAGAAATTCTTCTCTGAGACAGCCAACTATTGAACCTCCTTCAACCAGCGGGCGAGGGTTAATTATGCACTTTCAAGTGCTTTTAATTGAAATATGGCTGTCAATTGTGTCTGGGTGAAGTACTAAACTCTCTGTCACTGCTGCCCTTACAAGAGGTGGCTCCATTCCAAAGACAAATGCTAGCCATCAGTGCCAACGGGAAAACTCGGTTTTAAGTTGAATAATTTTTTTAAATATGGCAGTTTGTTAATTTTTGCTGAACTTTTTTATGTACAAGTAAAATGTTAAAAACAACCGATAAGTTCGCACTATACACTGGGGCCAAAATTTATCCCCACAAAGAGATAATGTTATAAACCTCTTTTCGGGTGGCGTTGTGCAGCACAGTACCTGGGAGGGTGGGAGAGGGGGACCGTTGATATTTCAACCTCACCTTCCTCATGCAACTCTGAATTAGATGCGTGGATGAGGTGAGTCTTATCGAATGGTGTTGTCGGGATAGGCTCGTTCTCCATATCAACGGGTGTTGTTGTTAGCAAAGCTACTAGAAGATCATACTTCGTGCTAATTCATACTCAATTGATAGAATGAAAATACGAAATGTCAAATGGGTCGGGTGGCGCATAATGATCACTGGTTGTTTCGCCCCAGAAATAGCACGTGAGCGGCCCCGGGGTGAGGGTCCCACACACAGTACTGGTACACTGAGTAGTGTACACAACAGTGGGACCATTCTCATGATAGGTAGCAGTAACTGTCCTCTGCAGTGGAGATCATGTTGACTATGATCATTCTGACTTATATAGCCAAACAACAGGGGACTGAAAGATGCAGGCAAAAATATAAACTTTCGGAAAACAAACCCTCGGCGCATGTACGGCACGCGGAGTAAAGAATTGCGCTGGTATCATTACCCTCCCGCAGCATGCGAGAGAGGGTACAGTAGTTACCATCGGCGCGCATCGCAGCGTGGTTGGGTTTTCTGTTGGACTGTGGTGTGTGGTGTGTCTGTCTGTTACTCTACATCTCACCTTCTCGAATGTCTGTTCGTCCCAAAAACGAACTCATCTACCAACGGGCAACGAAGGTCAGAAATATGTCGCGAACGTGCTTTCTCTGAAAATGCTCCGGTGCCGAAGCTAGAGCGCTTCCAGCAGTGCATGGCTAATGCCGGGTAGTCGCCATTTATCGCTGGCGGATCATGCGCATCGCTTATATTAGCATTATACCTCCGCTTCTTGCTCTGTCAGAGAAAAACGCTTATTTTCTGACCTTGTCGCACGGTGGGTAGATGGTATCGATTCTGGACGAACAGACGTCGAGGACTGAGATTATAGGTAACAGACAAACAGACAGACCCAACTAACTAGGTCTGTTGCATGCACTGCAAGCCAACAAGAATAGGCCGGCATGTTTTACAAAAATCAGTTACTTGTACTGTCTAGCATACATGAAAATATCAGACAAGTAGCGGACGAACGAACGAGTGTGATAACTCTGGTCTAGTCTGAGAGAGGCGCTGTGAGAGAGAGTAGAGTGAGTTAGTGATGAAAGTAAGAAACATCCATTGTGTGGACCCACCCACCACAGAGAGGGCAGATGCCTGGCTGCAAACTGTGGCCCATGGTCAATTCGCGATAAGGGTCCTGTAGAGAGTCAGTACCACGAGGTCCGTAATCAAGTGCCATGTCCCACAGCTTCATCCAAGATGTATCAGCAGCTATTCCTGATGCAATCGCTGTACTGTTGTGACGGCTGGCCTCGGTGGTGCAGGCCTCCCAGTCTGCCTGTAATACTTCTCGCTTTAATTCTCTTAGAGTTGACTGGGCACTGAGCAATGGCATCGGTAGAGCCCTGACAGGAGAGCTTACCCTCCATAGCTCTACATTCCTGCACGAGCCTGAGAGAATCTTGTGGTGAGCTTGAAAATATTTGGCTCCCAATGCTATTTCTGTCATCAGACACCTTTGATAGAAGACTCAGTTTACGAACAAACATTCTTGCTGTTACTGAGGGCCACCTGAGAGCCAAACGAGTAGAAAGTGTAGAGTGATACTTCGACAGTTTCAATATGCGACGACCAATTTCCCCCTGAAATGATTCCAGCTGATGCAGCATCGAATCTGTCAGCATCCAGTTCTCACAGCCGAACAGCAGCACGGGAACCACACAGGCCTCATAGATGCTTCTCGCTGATAACGGATTCAACTGTCCATGAAATGCCCCTATAGCTCCAAAGGCAAAGAAAGCTCGTCTTGCTTTCTTGATGGCTTCATCGACAGCTTTGGTGGCAGAGAGGTCCCAGGACCACCAGTATCCAGACACTTTGCGCTGAGACGAGGTGTCAGAGCCTCACCTCCAAGGACAGCTATAGGTGCGGATTCCACTGGTTTGGAAGGAGAAACAAGCACAACTCGCATTTGGTGGGTATTCAGAGTCAGTCCATTCTGTACTGTAAAAGTTTGCACAGTATCAATTTGCTCTTGTAAAGTAGCTCGAGAGCTACTGATGGTACGTATGTCATCAGCATGAATGAATGCACCCGCGTACGTATCACCAATAGAAGGACCCAATGCCTTACTTTGTAGAGATTTCAGTAGGGGGTCCATAATCAGCAGGAAGAGAACTGGGGAGAGGACAGAGCCTTGGAGAACTCCACGCTCTAGAGTGAACATGGAAGACAGAGAGCCATCGACCCTCACCATGCTCTTTGGAGACGAATACCAGCTTCGCAGCAACCTCCAAGCCCTGCCGTCAATGCCAGCCTCATACAGCGTTTTAGGAGAACGGAGTAATGGACGGAGTCGAACGCCTTTTGCAGGTCGTAGAAACACATGTACACTTTTCACAGCGTTGTGAGTAAATGGATAGTACCTCCAACGTTGAGAATATAGCTTCTGCACAGGAGACACCTTTGCGGTAGGCTGTCTGATTGAGATGTGGTATACCTTTCTCTGAGAAATGACACTGCAGCCGTGTTAGTATGAGTGACTCCAAAACGAGAGGATCCTTACCTCCTCCTTTATACAACGGTGTTATGATTCCAATTTTGAGGGAGTCAGGTACATGTTCCAGTTCCGTGATTGCGTTACAAATTTGCAGAATCCAGTCTCGAGATTGGACCCCCATATTTTAGATGTCTGCCTGCACACCCGTGTGTCCGGCGGCCTACCAAGTTTCAACTTCTTCAAGACACTATGACAACGAAAGGGACATCTAGCAGGAGTCTTCATTATTGCAGGAGTGTGCATCATCTATGATCCTTGTTCTGAGGGAACATGACCGAAGAGAGCTCTATGTTGGCAGAACTAATGCCCGAAAATGATCTTCCCTGGTTCTGGTTTTTGGTCTGTAGCCACTTCTTGGTTGATACGCAGTGATGGACTAGTTTGAAGACTACTGTTTGAATGTTGTATCATCAAAACGTTGATCAGCCAGTAACAAGCCGATTTATTACAGTGGACATGATCTCCACGGCTGTCATGGGTACTGTATACTGGAGCGGCACCGAGGGTAAACAAGCCTGATACTTAAGTGGACTATGATTCCACAGAGCTGTCATGTCACGATACTGGCGACGCGCACCGAGGGTAACAAGCCATGATTACTTACGTGACTATGATCTCCACAGAGCTGTTCATGGTCACTGTATACGGTCGGTTACACAGTTAGTATCCTGCCAAGTCCAAATTATGACTGTTACTGATGTAAAGGAGTCATGATTCTGAGGAGGGTGAACCACTGAACAAAGGTAGTGGTCTTGACAGGTGGAGTCACCATCAGTGTAGATGTAGTGTATCTCTTCATTAACTGTTGTATCTCCTGTATCAGGGGAGCTCTGGAAACTAAGATCTAGTGTAAGTGTAGATAAAGCATAATTAATAGGGTAAACTTACTCGTGTGCTCAACAAACGCTGCATGAGTTATCGCCACCACTGCTACATCGTACATTATGGTTACTGAAGACACAGACACTAATAGTGTACCATTCACCACTGATCCCTCACTGACTGGTGAGTTGCCTATCAGGAACGTGGTATCATAGACAGTGACAGTATTTGACAGTATTGCTACAGTTGCAGTGCAATTCTCTGGTCCGAGCTGGGAAGACCTCACACCTCACTGGATAGAAACACCAACCTTTTAATCCATCATCATGACTATACATTGCCTTACCACAGCCCCACCAGACACAGACGACCAATAATCCTTGGACACGGACGAGGAGAAGCATTACTGCCGCTTAGCGCAATATTTGCGCATGCGCAAATGGTTAAATTTCTGTGACACCTGTGCTGAGCTAGCTGCTGTCAACCCTCGGCGAACTGCGCATGAGCGATATCACTAATTGATGGGCTGGGCTATTAGTAGTAATACCCACCCGCTACGTACGCGCGCACACACAGACAAACCCGTAACCCTCGCTGCGCATGCGCGCCGAGGGTTATACTGGAGACGCTCATACTAGGCAGGTTACTTCCAGTATTCGATTATCTGAATATCGGGTAGCGCAAGCATGTTTCCTGCACTGATGCCATTTTCACCACCCCAAGAAGTGCATGCTTTACACTAACTTCACGAGTAGAGCAATACCCATGTTTTTATGATCTACAAAAGGAGTTTGACTCAGTTTAGTATGGTGTCCTACCGTGTCGTCTCTTTGATGCTGGTATTAAATTTAATGCCAAGCGTGAGACACTTGTTCGTGTCATGAAGTCATGTTGGTTAAGTTATGGGATGTGATGCTGTCATGCTTGACGAGTGTTCATGGCACGGTTAGGTTGGGCAATCCTTTTAACAGTGATAACCTGCCAAAGTATTAGGCAACATCTCGCTGTGTGCCAGTCTGTGATGGCAAACCGCTACCTACCACCTGCTCCACAACTCTACTAGAATCCCGCATACGATCTACCGTTAGGGAAGAGGTGGCCGTCTAACATCAGCATCACAAAGACACGGGATAATCTGGTCTGGTTTTTTACTACACGGTGGTGCTAATCACAGTTCACACCAATTCACTTCTATCCCAAAACAGTCGTGGTTTCCTAGCTTGTTTTACCATTTATCTCTGTCCTTTTTATTTTCTTATGTGCTGGTGCCTTGTCTGGTGTATGCAATAATAACGATTATAACCATTGGGGCTCCCCTAATGCTAACTTCGTCGTGGTCCTAGCTTGTTTTAAAACCCATTTATTGTTGGTTTCTGTTCCTTTTTATGTTTCTTATGGTTCTGCTTTTTCTGTGTATTCACTAGATAACCATTGAACCATTGGGCTCACCTAACGCTAACGTTCGTTCTGTTTATGATCTCCATTGTAGATCTCATCACTGTCTTGTGCTGGTTCTGAGTGCCGATGATCTCTTTAGGAGAAGCCACCTTGACCTCCATCTCCAAGCCTCTCGTCGTCTCTCTTGTCTTCTCTTCTCTGATCCTGTGTGAATAATGACATGTTTGATGATTGTTGTAAATGTCTCACCTGTTCTGTAAGATGACACTATTTTCACACGTGCTCACTAGCTAGACCAGTTTGAACCAAGACAATGAGAGAGAGAATTATTACTCCAACCTTATATGGTTGAAGAGTAGACGTTTGTCCTGTGTGAGGCACATAAACATGTTTGTAAGAGACAGTTGTGGTGGGACCATCTCTACACAATAGTAGTTAACCCTCGGCGGCGCAGCGAGGGTTACGGTAGTCTTTCTGTCTGTCTCAGTGTCTGTCTGTCGACGCTTATTCTGGCACTACAGGCCACGAGGTGGCTAATGAGCGATACCAACGGCTTCAGAACTACGCGAACCTGAAAATTTATTAGGCGATTTTCCTGAAACGACTGCATGCCGTGAAAACAAGCGAAAAAGCCAATATGCATAATCGCACTGGGCTTACCGCGACCTGATCCGCCCGCTCTGTGTACCTTGGGGGCTCAGGAAGTCACAACCAATGGCATGTCATGCTATCTACTACTGTAGCTAGCCCGTGTCTGACTCTCCGGGGGCTATATACTAGCGGAAGAGACCACGCAAATTAGCAGCATCGCGCATGCGCAGTTCGCCGAGGGTTTGCACTTTAGTGCTTTTCATTATTTGGCAACTACCGCAGGGGAAAACAAAACGTTGACCTGGGTCAGTTGCAGACTGTTTTAGAACCCGTTTCCTTTGATCTGCAGTCAGGGCTAGGGTCCCACACTCTAGTACTGGTATAACACTGAGTAGTGTACACATCAGTGGGACCATCTCTACACTGATAGGTGCAGTGGAGCCCATCACCCACATATTATTGGAGGATATTAGAGGACATTGGAGGACATCATAATGGATGACAAGAGAGGACACTGTCCTCCGGAGGACACACAGGACATTTCCTTCAGAGGACATTGGAGGAGGAAGGTAGAGAGCGTGTGCGTGCGTGTGTGTGCACGACCTAGAGTGGTAGCAAGAGGTCTAGGAACAAATTGAATGTTAACAGAAAACATCTGCTGTGGGCTTTAGCAAAAAATTAAAGCACTGCCTGGTGCATGCAGCTACAAGTAATCCACAGCTCGCCAAAACACAGCATTTACGAATTTTACAGACGTTTTAAAGCAACTGCAAAATCTTGCTAGTGTGTGATATACACACATGTATATACTGCACACCAACACTCTACTGTAAATCAGAGACCGTTTACAGGGGCACAAGAATTGAACCGTTGTTATTTTTAGGGTTAGGAGACACATCATTGTCATGACAACCACCTGTCACCACGGTAACGTTAGTCTATTGGGTAAACGTTGTGAACATGTTAACGAAAGGCCTCAGGATTAGAATGGAGTAATAAGTAATAGGTAATCGACTACTCTTTGAAGCACACAGTTGTGTGGAGTCCTTGGCAAACAATAGTCCAGCATGCCTTCCTTTCTCTGGGTCCTAACAATGGCCACACAGAACTCAAACCATTTTAACTCGCTTCACCAACAGCACAATACACTAATTCCCCCTACGTACATACAGGGCGCCTATGGACACTTTCCCTTTACTTCCTTCCTTCTAGATTTCAAATAAAAGGTTACCACATGCTTAGGTCACTATTTCATTGTCCACAAACAGCACAAATCAGCACATCACTATTCTACGTGCCCATGAACAGTTGTCCCTCCCCTCCTTTTTCTAGGTTGCCACACACCAACAAAACTCTTACTTTGTCTAAAAACTGTGCAAATCAGAACACCGCTACCGCGTTGCCTGTACCACAAGCACAGCGAAGTTGTAGCGCAGTGTGTGTGTGTTGTTTCGATGTGACTCACTGCTAGTAACAGTTGGAGGAGTAGGACCGTTGCTAATCTCCAGAGTGGCACTTTTGGTGACATCACAAGAGCCCCGAGGGAGCAAGACACAATCTCCCCGAAACTCTTCCGGAACGACGTTCTGCAGAATACACTCAACGACGTGGCTCCTAACACCCAAAGCTGTGGTGTTTTCTATTTGGAGCACACTGGAAGTTTCATTATTCATGTAGCATGGAATGTTTTCCGAGCTTGCACCACAAGTGAACGTCTCACTGTCAACCTTCCAACTGATTGAAAAGGATGTGTCTTGTTTTAGAGCGTTGCAGACAAAGGTAGCCGGTTCTCCAGTAGCTACTGATACATCTCCAATCTCACCACTCAGGGTGGACAATACTGTAGAGAAAGTGGGAGTATGATAATGCAGAGAAAGGACAGAACTACTGCATTCTCACCTCTCTTATGAACAACAACTATAGGTGGGTTGTAGTCCTCATCTTGTATGGTGCTGCTATGATCGATGCTAACAATACACCGGTACTCAGAAGGAATTGATGACATCTCTGTCGTTTCAGTCACTGTTATATTGAATGTATCGTCACTGTAAGAAGTAGGAGTAGGTTTTACTCTACGCCACGATACTCGATAGTTCTCTTTTAGAGCTTCAGGTTGAATGGCACAGGAAAGGTTGACTTTCCGCATGCTCTCGAGTGACGGGAATAGGATGTAGTGGGGCATCATTGGTGTATTGTAGGTGGCTGGTGGTGAGGCTGCGAGAATAGAGTGCAAGCAGTAAAATTCTCAGTCACACACACTATAACTAGTACTGCCAATACTGTATAACTACTCTACCTGCAAGTTTTTCCACATTAGAGACTTCGTCGAGAGCGGTCCTGCAGCTGAAACTTCCCTCTTGGTCTTGGTTGAAGACGAACGAGATGCTAACCTCTGTCTCCGCCACCAGTTGAGATCCAGTGGTGATTCGTGATGTTCCTCGCCAGAACGTGGCTGGTCTTTGGTTGAAATTAAGGCCGTCCAGAGAACTCCTCTTGCAGGTCAAGGTAACATAGCTGTAGTTGCCAGTCTGCGGGTAGTCTACTTCCAGCAATATCGCCGTTGTGGGACTGGGGGTGTCACCAGGGGACACCAGGTTTGGGGGAATTGTGACCTCATTTAGTTGTTCCTGCGGCGGCCCAAAACACTGGTCACAGTTGAGGTGGTCTGGCCAGGGAAGACCACTTGCCCGCTGATTGAATACTGGCTCACATCTGTCACGTACATGCAGACAGAGACGCTTACACGGACGGGGAACTCGGACGGGATGTTCATCAGTGCAAAAAGGAGCGTAAATGGAACAGAGGAAAAGTACAATGGCCCCTGAGCAATTGACTTCAATGAGCTGGCGAAACTGTTCTAATTCTTGGTTGGCTTCCGTCTGGCTGGTGTGGCCCCGAAAGTTAGGGAAAAAGAGTATAGTTCCAGGGCATGTCCTCACATATCCGAACGTCCGTAACGGGCTGGCATTTCTCTGGCACTATCGTCGGCTGAGTAATGGGGGTTGAAGTGTTCTGTCCCGGAGCATCTTGGGCTTTGGCGTACGGCGAGGCAAGCATTGCGCTTGAAATTACTAGTAGTAGCCAACTAGCCATGCGGAAACGGCTTCGACCCCTACCTGCAGCAAAAGAACTAACGTGCATCAATAGGCAAGCACGAAGTTAGTTTATGTTACTTGATCTGACTTGATTTGCGGAATTCACCACCAGCGAACGCAAAAGTATGCGAGATAATTGAACGTTACGTCACATCCGGAGTCTCCGTTCGAGCCACACAGAACACATCGATTCCCAGTCATGATATTCAACTATCCTTTCTGAGCCCAGATGTCCGCGCAGGAACTAGCTAGAGCGTCCGTTTTTTCTCAAACATACTACGGTTACTGTAATATCGCAAAAAAATAGAGCATACCGTAAAAGCTACGTGTGCGCCGATCTGCGTAAGTACGGACGGTTCCATTTTCTCTGTAGACATCGCTGGACCCCGAACGAGACTCCAGATGTGACGTCACGTTCAATTGCATTCCTTGTGTCGTTCGTGCCACTGGTCAGATCAGTTCCGCGGCCGAAAGAGTATATACGACCCAGGCTAACGACTCCATTGACAGTACTATTGTATATACATCGCGTGTTTATTTTACACACACTGTATATACTACTTCTGTCTTGTACCACTGACTTACGTTGAAGTTCTTTCTACGGTGATATCCCCAGGTCCTTCTTCGCGGCGTCTCCAGGCACAGGGAGATTTTCGATTGCTAATAGATAATTGCGTGCGAGGATATCCCCCTTATTCGGGCGGAAATGACGATTAGTGGCCAGTCCAGTCCACTCTACTCTGACGCAGTCTCACGCGCAACTCTCCTGCACGCACGCATGCGTATTTCTGCCCAAATCGACACACCCCTTTCATCCCGCGCACGCGCGCTGTGGCGATCTTTCTCTGTGAGACGACCTACGTACAGCCTCTGTGCCTGCCTTTCAGCCTGCTCTGACATTTATGACATATCTCACTCAATCCAGACCTTGTCGCTTTATTTTTTTGAGTACTGAAAGGGTAGATGAAAGCAATCCGACCGCCACATCCAAGTGCCGACCGACGGATGCGTGGGTGGCCATGCCGCCCGCTTACAGGGTCAAAGTTCACAAATTTTCTTGACGTTTCTATAATAATTTATTAGAAGTGTGTAAATTTACAACATTTTGTGCATGACTGAAACTTTCGGTAAACAAAATGTTGTAAATTTACACACTAAAGGGATATATAATTATTCCTGAGTCTTTCCAACACAGCACAGGTGTTGCAAGTCATATGCATGGATGACTATTTATCAGGTTTTACAACACATAATCACACAGATAATTTAACAAAATATTCAAAGAGATGAAATTCTTCTCTGAGACAGCCAACTATTGAACCTCCTTCAACAGCGGCGAGGGTTATGCACTTTCAAGTGCTTTTCATTGGTTGTGAAATATGGCTATCCAAACTGGTCAAGTTTCTCCGTCTTGTCCCCGTCAAGTTCTCCATACACGGATTTGCACTTTTGTTCCGAGCCACGTGCCCTCTGGTGCTGCCAGGTTGAAAATGCTAAGCAGTGTTACTTAGCCCACGTAGTTGCTGGATTGTTGAAGAGCTGTTTCAAACCCATCAGTAAGCACTGGTCAGCATTTCAAGGTGCTGCATTGGCACATTGATAATATGCTACCCACAATAAAGGGGCGCGCACAAACTGTGAGTAACATCCCGCTTATCTCTAACCTTTTATAAGGCATATCACACCATTCAGACAGTGTATATACAAAACTGTTAAAACATTGAGACATGCGTACATCACTTTGTTATCATGGGTGTTGTGTCATCCTGTTGCTGATCCACCACACAGGGAATCAGCACAAAGCAGCGTTCCCTCAAGAAGGTAATCTATTACCCATGGTCATGTGCCAACTATTTACCACATTGGCATGTCCGTCCCTTTGCCAGGTTTTGTCTACCAGCCAACTCTCTCTTGCAGGGACTATACCCCCAGCCCCATCACACAATCCCTATATTGTTGCCTAGGTGAAGTATTAAACATTCACATTACAATCAGAGCGTCGGTAGACGCTCTATATAGGGATGACGCGAGTGAAATCTCACGTGATCGGCGTACAGAACGCCTCAAAACTCAGCGAGAATGACTCACCATGGCTTCAAAATCACTAGCAATAGTCTAGAGGCCAATACCTAGCTATACATATGCCCCAAGACTTCTTACCACCAGAGAATTCGCTCTTACGCGATTTCGCGATTTTCGTGTCATCATCATAATAATATTCTTCATCATCTTCTTCTTCTTCAGACCCGCTAGCTCCTTACCGGAAGCAGTTGAAGCGTTGATTTATTCACAGAACGTCTCCAAATTTTCCGGAGGTGTGCACGCATATCAAGCGATCGCTTGTTTCTTGCCGCAAGTCACTACGGTAGATCATTGAGCTCTTCCACAATAGTCACTGAACAACGCCATTTGCTGCTAACTCAGCATCAGTGAGCCGCATGCGCCGCGCCGAGGAGGGCGTTTCCCCAAAATACGCGGTGCGCGCGCATTACTATAGCGTGCGTGAACCACACTAAGCAAGCCAGGAAGCCTGCAGAGGAATTCTTATCCTCCAGTGCCTTCTGTAAGTCAGTATACACATGTTTAACTGGCTATCTTGCGTTTGCTGTTGATTTGCACGAGGAGCAACTTCGCAGTGTGCGCCGTGTTAGCTATACGCGGTCCTTGCACAGCGCCTTCATTCTTTGTCCCCCCAGGTTATAGCTATCATTGTAGTCTGATTACTGAAGCCTGCCTATGAAAGCACCCCACCATATATGTGCCACACCCTAATTGCATCCTTGTTGGAGACACTACGCATACACGCTGCTTCAGGTAGGAGCAGCCCATTAGCTTCTGCTTTCAACAGTTATCTCTACAACACCCATGAACATAAGAGTGACTGAAAATGCAGTGTTGTCATAAGGCGTGAAAAATAGTGGAAACAAGTGGAAAAATCATTTCTTCAAAATGAAAGGGGGATATAGGGATGGCTTGAAGCACCAAAAAGGAAGAAACAAGGGGTCATTACACAGCAAAGATGCACAAAGCTACATGACACCATCCCTATATCTTTGTATTATTGTTCACAACCAATCTCGCCATACTGACATTTTTCTCCCTAATTGGGAAAGAGGTCGTCCAGCCGCGCTTGACGTCTCCGTCATTTCCACTCTGCAACAGCTTACCTTCAAGTAAAGTTTAATATGAGACAAAGATATAGGGATGGTGTCATGTAGCTTTGTGCATCTTTGCTGTGTAATGACCCCTTGTTTCTTCCTTTTTGGTGCTTCAAGCCATCCCTATATCCCCCTTTCATTTTGAAGAAATGATTTTTCCACTTGTATACAATACTCAGAACTTATAATACAAAAAAAAGTCATGCTACTTAGTAACCAAAACTGTTATAGAGTGGACAAGTGGAGTTTGATTAAAGGCAGTATAAAAGTAGTAATGTTACTAAAAACGACAGGGGCACGGTGAAAGCTTTTACCCCCCTTTAACCCCTATAAGAGTAGCACACCAGGCAACAATATAGGGATTGTGTGATGGGGTTGTGTCGAATCTGTTCGTTAACCCTCGGCGCGTGCGAAAATCAGGTCACAAATAGCGATATGATCGGGTTCAGTGCTACACTGGGTTGATTTTTAAAAAGGCGATTTTCGTAAAACTACTGCGTTCTAAAGTTATGGCGTGAAAACCAAGTGAACAAGCCAATAATGGTAATTAGCACAGGCTTACCTCGACCGCGTCCGCTCGCTCTGTGCCTCTTGAAGGCACAAGAAGTCACAACGAAGGGCATGTATCAACTCCCGCATGAAATCTACTACTGTAGCTAGCCCGTGCCTGACTCTCCGTGTGCTACTAGCGGGATACAACGAGTAAAGAAAAGAAAAGCCAGCCCATCAATTAGTGTACCGCGCATGCGCAGTTCGCCGAGGATTTGCACTTTAATTAACCATGCTTCATGTATCCCATCCCTATCTTGTCTCCCTTTCTTTTTATACCTTACCTATATGCCTCTTTTTGCAGGATTTTTAATTAATCTAATTGTAAATGCTATCGATCGTCGTTGTGTTTCGTCCGTTCTCTAGCGTACGTCAAAACTGGTATATACCAGTCGTGCTGGAATAGAACCGCGTTCAGATCGTCGTCATACCGTAATGTAATATTGTTGGTCGTGTGTTGTTTAGCAGGACGGTAGCGTTCGATGCGACGTATAGGGGGGTGATTCATGCCATTAAGGATGAGATACACTACTGCTTCTGGGTACTAAGTTGCAAAGTCAGAGGTCACACAAGTCAGAAATTT